CAATCTGTGCATACTTTAGATATATATTTTTTTAGAATTCATAATGTAGTGTATTTAAAATCTGCAGTGTCATATATTGCTAGCGCTTTGTTGGCAGGACATTTTAGGGTCACGATAACCCTTTATATAAGATACAAATTTATCCCCATTAAACCATTTCTTTCCACCCGAGTGAGCCAAAATCTTGACAAACAATCTGCGTATTATTCACATACGTTTTCTTAGAATTCACAATGTATTGTATTTAACATCTCAAGGACAAAAGTATAGATAGTTATGTAAGTCTCTACCCCCCCCCCCCCCACCACACCTGTTCTTACATTGTATGATAAAAGTATAGATTGTTTTAATAATATAATATATTTACATGTAAATTACATAGAATCCCGATAAAACAAATACCTTCAGGTTATTTCTACAATTTACAGAAAGGTTTATTATAGTTCTAAGCCAATGAATAGGGAATACCCCCATCCACAAAGGTTCCTTTACGTGTATACTTATGTGTACACGGGACCTCAGATATGAGCGAAAAGACTCCAATTAGCCAGTTCTGATTTACATGGTAACCAATATTTTCGCCTGTCCCAACCTCGTGGGTTTTCTCCGAGTCCTCCAGTTTCCACCCACTGTTAAAGCCCCCTACGCTCAAGCGAATTATTAAAAAAAATTAAACCATATGTTAGTCCCGACATTACCTAGTTTTGGCAAGTAGATGTTTTGTTGTTTTTATACGCAACCCACCTAATCTACACCAACTGAATATATCGATTAGATCGATTTGTTTTAGTTATCGATAATTGATTTTGTGCAACATGGAGGTCGTGACAAGGAGAAGGGTTTTCGTGCATGTACACAAATCCCCTGATAGTTGGAATTAGAATTGGTTTCTTCATAGCCCGGAGGAAGCATAAAAGCGGGACGTTAAACCCAATTTCATTTCATTTATTAATTGATGAAAATATCATAATCCAGCAGAGCTTCGAGTTGTTTTAGGAGTTATGATATAAAGAAACATTTTTCTATTTTGAGGTTTATTGAGTTATATAATATGAAGAAAGGTTTCTGTATTTTGTTTCTGTAATTTACCAACCTGAGTGTGTTTTAGTCGTAGTTTCTGTAATTTACCAACCTGAGTGTGTTTTTGACGTAGTTTATGTAATATGTTGGTAGGATTGGTATGGCATAATAATAATGATGATGTAAATACTGCGTTAATGAGGTATATAAACGTGTTGGGCAGGTATATAACAGGTAGATATAGGTATTGAAAGTAAATCAGGTATTATTACACCACGTGTTATACACTGTACATCACTGATGGTACTACAGTAGGCTCACACTCACTACTGTACATCACCGGGGTTACTACAGTAGGATACGACTGACTACTGTACATCACTGATGGAACTACAGTAGGCTACCACTGACTACTGCACATCACTGATGGTACTACAGTAGGCTCACACTCACTACTGTACATCACCGATGGTACTACAGTAGGATACCACTCACTACTGTAGATCACTGATGGTACTACAGTAGACTCACACTCACTACTGTACATCACCGATGGTACTACAGTAGGATACCACTCACTACTGTACATCACTGATGGTACTACAGTAGGATACCACTCACTACTGTACATCACTGATGGTACTACAGTAGGCTCACACTCACTACTGTACATCACTGATGGTACTACAGTAGGCTCACACTCACTACTGTACATCACTGATGGTACTACAGTAGGATACCACTGACTACTGCACATCACTGATGGTACTACAGTAGGATACCACTGACTACTGTACATCACTGATGGTACTACAGTAGGCTCACACTCACAACTGTACATCACTGATGGTACTACAGTAGGCTCCCACTCACTGTTGTATAATTATCCCAGTTTGCTTTCTGTACGATAAATGATTACTTTGTTTCGTTTGATGATTAATATTAATGGCGTATCATGAACTCTGAAATCCGTGACCCTAGTTAGGTTACAGCTACCTACGCTCTCTCAGTGACCCTATACAGTTGTCAGTTTGATCATAAATGCGCTCCTCAATGTGCTCTCAGTGTTCCGAGGGTTCACGGTGGGTTAGACGCTGGCTCGCTAGGTCAGGTATTCGATCCCTGCATTGGTGGAGAAATTTTATCCAGATTTTCCTGCGTGGTTCCCCCTTGACAGTTGGAATTCGGTATAGGAGTAGGCCGTAGTGCCGCCGCCCGGCAACATTTCCCTCATACCACACTGTATGGCGTATGCCCGTCTTCATTGGCCCAGTTCGGAGCAGAACAGTAGAGCGTGAAACCCCATTTCATTTCATTTCTCAGTGCTCCGAAGTCGTTGCTGTTGCGCTCTCAATACGTTTATTGAACAGGAGCTATCTGTATAACAATAGAATCTCCTTCAACCACAGCAGCAGTCTACTTAAAACCCTGCCACACTCATCCGCGAACACGCTGGCCCTCCTACTGCGATACCGTCGACATGAACTACCTCTACAACCAAACCCCGGCAACGCATCCCATGTAGCAGCACGTGAACTATATTATAGCGTTATCAAGAAACGACTATACGCTCTTCAACTGCCTTGAGAAGTTTTTTTTCAGGTTTCCAAGACCAGGGACAAAAAATACGGACTCAACAGGACCACAGAAAGATTGAAAAACAAAACACCCTAAGCTGTAGAGTGTTTTTAGGAATTCAGATGAGATAGCCTGGGGCAGCTATGAAATTCAACAGGTGCCTCTTGGGACTAGCTAAACAACCACAGCTAGTTTGAAAAATTAGTTTTCAAAAAGTTTTATGTGTCAAATGTTTACAAGAATTGTGGACGGGCGGAAGGATCTACGGAAGGGTAGGGGTGATTACAATATAGTCACATATTAAATGAGGGCGCATGAAGATTCTCCATTTCTGCTGTTGACACGTCATTCCACAAAAAGCCACAAATGGCTTGTCAACAGCCATGTATGGGAGCTAATCTTGTCCCATTTATGGCTAACGACCATTTAAATAGATATGAATTTTGCTTTCAAGGACATAATATCAAAGCTAAACTGAGATCTGTACAGCTACAAAAGGACAACTTCCATTTATGGTAATTTTAACATGACACTTCACCAACACATGACTAATCTTTATATATACATTTCAATAAAAACGCACCCCTTAAAACATGTAACACGTGATTACAGTATGGTTCTTTTACACAAGAACACGACAAGAAAATAAAATATTTATGGAATGCAAGGTCAAACGATCCACAAAACAGCTAAAGAATTTCTAGAGAATTCCCAATAATTTAATCACCTATCCAGTTTATCGTGAACGATGCAGGGTATACATGGTCTTTCAAGAATAACTGATACCACTTCTCATTTGATGAGTTGGCAGGGTTACTACAATTTGATGAGTTGGCAGGGTTAATACAATTTGATGAGTTGGGCAGGATTAATACAATTTGATGAGTTGGCAGGGTTAATACAATTTGATGAGTTGGGCAGGATTAATACAATTTGATGAGTTGGCAGGGTTAATACAATTTTGATCTGTTTTAAATAATTATGTCATTTGTAGTTTCTTTTAGCTCTTTAACTATGGGTTGCTCTTGTTGTTGTTGTCTAGCGAAAATCGGGTTTCACATTTCACTTGGCTGACTACGTGCGTTTGATTTTTCCCCGGAAAATATATTTCATCTAGCACTAGAAACAAATCTTGTAAGATAATTCAAGTAATTTTAAATAACACAAGATACATAACACCTAGTTTAACGTACTACTGGTCTAATACAACGTCGTTGTCATTATGGACAACCATTGTTTATAATAATAATGATAATAATAATATAATGATATATTGCGTACATTCCACCCAAACAGTATGCTCATGGCGCAGGGTTGTTTAGCTCTTCAGTTTTATAGTTTACTAACAGGATTCAAACAGATGAGATTTTTCCGTTTGTTTGAACAATATTTTATTTCTATTATATCATGATTATATACAGTATTGATGTAATGGATCTGAAAACAGGCCATAACTTATATAATTTGAAAGTTTCCAAACATTCTATAAGTTTTGAGAATCACAGGTAAAGAGTTCCATAGTTTTGGCACAATGTGAGATAATCGTCGAAATCCAAAGGATTTAAGTCTATCAATTGATCCTGTTAGAAGGGTGGTCATTTTGTGATTTCGGGGTGCGTTTGGGGTATATTCAGATAGCATTGAACCAAAGTATTTTGAGGCTGTTCCATTTGTTACTATGAGGAATGGATTCCTGATAAAAACGTTTTAGTAATGGGCGTCACACATGGGGGGGGAGGGGTGTCCGGGAGAGCCCCCCCCCCCCCGCCACCTACACACTCTCTATCGCGCTACATCAGCTGCTGCACAGCCTCGTACCTCCGGCGTCACAGATTGTCAACATTTTATATAATTTCATTTGTGGACCCCCCCCCCCCAATATATATTTCACGGCTAAGCCTCAGGGTCCCGTATGGCTAAATTTGGAGAGTTACCACTCGAGGCAACAGTAGCAAACACTAAGGCAGGAATGTGATGAATGAATGGAGGGGAGCTCTGTATGAATATATGGATGTGAACTCCTCAAATCAGAAATTGTGGCAAGCGTTGCGGAAACAGTAATCACACACGGCACGGTACCCATCACTGACTCGATATTTTTGACATGGATTTGAAAGTGGAAGCTGCTGGAAAGAAGATAATTAGAAGAGTCATCAGTCCATATATAGTACCTTATAACATTATTGATGATAAAAACATTAAAAAAAATAGTTGACACAGTAATCAAAGTATTATTGTATTTATATATTATATCATGAAAGTGTCAAGGTTAGATAAGACGGGTTAAATCTATTGATAATAATCCAGACAAAGTTTCAACCTGACGTAACATATCTCTAACCAATCAAAACGCATTCAATATTTGTCCATATATGGATATTAAAAGGTATTGGTTGAAATATTTATATATAAGGTGTGATACCTTAAACAAGACATCTATTATACCTGGCGGCACACGACTCCTACTATACCTAGAACAAGACACCTACTACAAGACATCTACTATACCTGGAACACGACATCAACTCTACCTGGAACAAGACATCTACTCTACCTGAAACAAGACACCTACCTAGAACACGACATCTACTAAACCTGAAACGAGACACCGGGCCGATACCTTTATATGAACATCTGAAGCTAAGTACAGGTAAAATAATTTTATTATAACTTTAGTTGTTCGTACGTCCTGACTTTTCTGTACCGACTGGATTTATGAAATGAAGATGTCATACCCATACAGAAATGAGTATCAAGACTTCGTTTTGCTATATCTGGTTTCTATGGTAACTCCATCTAACATTTTTCGCTGGGTCCTCTGCCCCCCCCCCTCTATACTAAAAAACCCTAGACACCAGCAAGTTATTGAAATAAAATTAAACCACATTTTAGTCCCGACATTACCTAGTTTTTGTCAAGTAGACGTTTTGTTGTTTTTATACTAGACCGGGGTTCAGTGCGGGGAAAGTGCATGTCCACCAAATGGGCACAAAACCAGAACAAACTTTTCTATAGTAAAATTGTGCGTAGAATAAGATGCCGAGTGGAAATATATCCACTGTGGCGGCGTTTTCGGGATATTCGGGGTCATAGGTCAAATGAGGTCATTTACACTGATAGTGGATAGGCAGCCATTCTTATATCATGAAAACATGCTGAAAATGATCGAAACTAATCTCTCTTTCAATAAAAATGTAAACTTGCTAAATTCGTCTTTGTTTATGTTAACTCCGGGGGTAAAAAACTCAACTTTTCCGTTTTTGCACTAGGAAGATTTCACGTCAGCATAAAATATAAAAACCTGTTCTAATTAATAAGGGGATCACGGTGGCTAAGTGGGTAAGGCGCTGGCTCGTTAGCCTGGAGGTCGGGTGTTCGATCCCTGCATTGGCCGAGAAAGTTCATCCCGATTTTCCGGCGTAGTTCCCCCTTGTCAGTGATGCAGGACGGAGGGCCTGACAAGGACAGCTGTTTAGTCATTCGGATGAGACGAAAAACCGAGGTCCCGTGTACACATTGGAGTGCACGTAAAAGATCCCTTGACAGTTGGAATTCGATATAAGAGTAGGCCGTAGTGCCGCTGTCCGGGCAAAATTTCCCTCATAGCACACTGTATGGCGTATGCCCGTCTTCATTAGCCCAGTTCGGAGCAAAACAGTAGGACGTTAAACCCCATTTCATTTCATTTCATTTCTAATTAATAATAGGAACATTTAAAATTGATCTTTAGGGGGTCTCAGCATGATGTCCATGTTACGGTGAAATTCATGAACACTCATAATATATTTTCACACTTTTGATCACGTCGCCAAGTCAGTTTTCCCAGATTGGGATTCCCGGAAATCCACGAATTGCTTTTTGACCAACTAATTATATTAGGAATATAACATTCGTCGTACAAACTAAATCGGAGAGATTGCGATTTGACACTTTTAACGTATTTTTGAAACGGGTTTCGAAGTGTTTTGCTCCCGTTATGGAAGGTCTTTTTCGTCATTCCAAAGTAAACGTACAGTGCTAAGACCCCCTAAATTTCAAATGTTTTTTATTATGAATTAGAACAGGTTTCTCTTTAGTTTTTATATTTTATATTATCTAAACTACGACATTGTTTATCAAGCAAGCTAACTTTCTGGTTAAACGTGGCTGATGAATACAGACAGACGCTATGCAGTGTGCTATAAGGGAAAATTACAAAGAAAAACAACGTAATGTCAAAAACAATTTTATAAAAAAAAGATTCAATTTAGTTCATTCTGAAGTACACTCTAGTCGAATAACACAATTTAAATAATAGAAATATTGAATATTTTGTTTAATAGAACATAAGTTTTTAACTTCAATCTAGGTACGAATCCCAGGCAGTTGTTTTTAAAGACCAACAGTCACTATATATAAAAGGCTATGTATGAGTAATCATTACCTAAAAATTGACCAATAAACGAACCTCTGCCAATCGAAGTAATTCAGAAGCGATTTGAGGATTACCTTATATCTTCATAGTTTATACGTAAATTATTCCCCAGAGTGTGTGCTTTGGTTTGGAGGGGTTGGGTGGGGCAAAAAATATAAAGAACAGTATTAAACAATTTTAAGAAGAAAATCTGGGACATTTGTAAAAAAAAAAGAAAAGATTTTTAAAACATTATTAGGATAGATATATTAAAATCATAAATTATCCGACTGACGTGATATTGATACATATTGTGTACATGTTTTTGAGACACAGAATATTATTGATTTTCAACTGATAATAGCTGTCAGGTTTCTAGTCCATATTTATAGAGAGCAGTAAGAGATTACTTTGACTTAAAATATTTTATTTATTTATAAGATTTGAAGTTTAATTCAATGTTTACAAGTATGTTTTATTTATATTTTAGTTTATTTATTTTATTTGTATATTTAATATCTGTATTGTCATTTACAGTCATGATATTTTCATGTGTTACAATATATTATCTCGACATTTTGATAGTACTAATAGTATTAGCGGTCTTAAGGGGACATAACTGGCCTTCGAAGTTAGAAAGTTGTGAATTGTGGCAATGGAATGGAAATTATTCAATAAGTTAGAAATTCATGCTTTTTGGCGTTTACTGGCATTTATGTGCAGTTACGATTTTCACATAGCCAAGGATATGTAAAATACAGCCTTTGAATACCGATTTAAGGTAACATACTTGGTTAATTCGAAAAATTAAGTTTTTTCTTAAACATACATTATGCATGAGCTAAATCTGCCTAATGCAGGTCTTTCTTTAGGCCTGAAATTTTTTCTAAATTATTAATTAGACATTAAACAATTGATCCATGCCTTAATTAACTCTCGATGGCATCGCATTTCTCCGATATTAAATAGATTAGAACAGTTCAGCCATATTTTGATTTAATCTAAAAATGGAGGAGCGAGACTTTGCTTCGAACAACCATTACGGTAGTTGAATTTATTGCACACGTCTCGTAATATAATAATTTGAATGAAATTTTCAAATTATTCATTTTACATTTATCTTTTTTCGAACTGTTATAGCAAGAATGGCTAGCTCTTTATCTAAATCTTACATAATGCATCTTTAACTTTAAGAAAACCTTTGAATACGGACCCGGCTCTCTACCTCCTTAATACCAGAATCTACTTTAATTAGATTTTATTCGATGTTTCTTGTTTTTAAGATAAAAGACCAGGTGAAGTAAGATACCTATCTAGGTCCAGAATACAAATAATAAAAATCTGTTATCAAGATGGCGAGCTACCAAGGTAAGTGGATTGATATGATATTAATAAATACTTTACTCTTAGATTCACAATAATATTTTCTCTCGGCTGGTCAAATGGCTCTTTTTCTTTAACTTCAGGCCAGATATAATCAAACATAATTTGATTGGTCAATAAACTCACGTGATATGAACACAGTTTACATATAAAATATGTCAGATGTTAATTTAGAACAACATACACAATCAACGTGTTAATTATATAGAAACTTAAAAGATGAAACGTTGTTTACGAGATGAACACTTACTGTTTAGTATTTACAGGTGGGGAGGGAGGGGGTTTATTGTCCATTAAACCATGCTTGAATCATTAGACCCCGAGACGCGACATCAAAACATGAAACGTTATTGACATTTTATTTTAATGATTTGTAATAAATTATTTCAGTAAAACAGAAAGGTCGAATGCCTGACGACCACTATAGGAAAATCCAAGCCAATTTCTGCTACCTAGCGGATCATATCAAGGAACCAGTAAAGCTTGGTAATAAATTATTTGAAAAAAATGTATTCGACGCAGATGAAACTGACGAAATAAAGAAAATTTACATGAACGCTGAAAAGGGCCGCTATGCAGCTGCCGACAAGCTACTGATGTATGTCTTGTCAAACTGTGGTGATGCCTATGGTAGATTCATCCTATGTGTAAAAGAACTAGGTTACACAGAAATCGTCAATGTATTAGAAAACACCACGAATGGTAAGTTTATTTATATTTTGAACAAGAACAACATACTATATAAACACTGACAACTTATAAAAACATAAAAATACAAACTTACCGGTTCTGTTCTTATTTGTTTAAATGAATCTGATTTTTGCCAGAAATTAGTTTTATTAGTTCTATGATTAAAGATCGTTAATTGCTATCCTTTTAGATATTTAACATCATAGAAACTATAAATGATGGATCCCTAATATTTTTTCTTATCTTTATTAAATTAGGCCTACAACAGATGCCTTTTATTAACATGACAATATACTGTATGTGATTATAACAAAATAAGAAAGATTGATACTATGAACGATACTATAATCATCTTACTATAACTGGATTATCTCCCTTATTATTGTTGGCGCTTTTTACATTCTAACTTGTGACGTCAATTGGCAGACGACCACCTTTGTGTAACGTCATTTAGCAGACGACCGCCGTCAAGACTGGTTGCATACGTTTAATGGCTTTCATGTATTTTAATTCAGTACTATTTCTCGCTCAATATGCTGACATTGAGATTTCTTGTAGACCGATCATGACTCTCACCAGTATGATACGACCTTCCGGAAATATTCCCCGTTTTTTTTTTTAATTGTTTCCATTATTCTTAGTTTGATTTTATTTTGAGTGAAGTCTATATCACGATAGGCCAGGGATTAGGGATTGATGGTAGTGGACGCTTATAGCTTATAGCTTATAGTTTTTTTATTTGAAATGTCTACGTATATTGGAGCCACGGTGGCTCAGTGAGTAAGACATTGGCTCGTTAAACTGGATGTCCCATGTTGTATCCCTGCCTTGGCCGAGTAAGTTCGTCGGTATTTTCCGGCGTGGTATACGCGTGTTAGTGATGTAGGACGGTTGGCAAGGGAAAATGTATAGTCGTTCGGATGGGACGAAAAAACCGAGGCCCCGTGTACACATTCGCCTAAACGAGAAAGATCCCCTGGCAGTTGGATATGTAAGAGAGGGCCGTAATGCCGCTGCCTGGGCAAAATTTCCCTCGTAGCACACTATATGGCGTATGCCCGTCTTCATTATCCCAGTCGGAACAAAAAAGTAGGACGTTAAACCCCATTTCTGATCATTTGTCTATGTATATTGTGTTATGTCCGTGGGTTTGTCTTGTGTAACTGTGTATTATATTATATTATATTATACAGGTAATAGTATTGAATTGTAAGTAATTTTATCATACAGGTAAAAATAAAACCAATCTGATGACAGAACAAGACAAGACAAGACATCAGCTAGATGACATATATAATACTAGCAGGATACCCGGCTACGCTCGGGGGTCATAACTTCGAAACCGGAAGTGGTAGACTAACGCCGCCTGGCCCATGTTACTCCCCAGTCCGAGCTACCCCTATACCCCAAATTCAGACTCGGGCCAGACCTAGTGTAGCCGCCAACCCCGAACAGACAGACAGACAGACAAACGACAGTCACAAATATTAGTATAGATAATATCCAACAAGGACTGACTTACCTGAAACAATATTAAATATGACTTGATAAACTGTAAATATAGTATAACATGTTATATATTACAGATACACGTCAACAACAACAACAACAATTATTTGATGCCTGTCTCGATGGTACTTTGGATGATATAAAAAACATGGTGAACATAGATGTTAACGTCAGAGACAGTATGTGGGACCAGACACCGTTATTTAAATGTTGTATGTCACGTGTAAGTCCTGTAGATAAAATAAAATATCTAGTCAGTCATCATCAGGCTGATATTAACGTTAGAACCAGTTATAATAATACCATCTTACACGAGGCATGTTGGCGTGGTACTTTATCTACAGTACAATATCTTGTTGATGATTTACACATGAATGTTCATACAACAGGTCGTTACAACAGTACACCGTTATTTTACTGTTGTATGTCAAGTGTAAGTACTGTAGATAAAATACAATATCTAGTCAGTCATCAGGCTGATATTAAAGCTAGAGACAGTGATAATAATACCATCTTACACTGGGCATGTTGGCTTGGTACTTTATCTACAGTACAATATCTTGTTGATGATTTACACATGAATGTTAATACAACAGGTCGTTACAACAGTACACCGTTATTTTACTGTTGTATGTCAAGTGTAAGTACTGTAGATAAAATACAATATCTAGTCAGTCATCAGGCTGATATTAACGCTAGAGACAGTTATAATGATACCATCTTACACGAGGCATGTAGGTTTGGTACTTTATCTACAGTACAATATCTAGTTGATTGTTTACATCTAGATCTACATGTCAAGAATAACCGTAGTCAAACAGTTCTAGATTATTGTAGGAAATCAGCCACTGAACAAGATGAAAAGATAAAATATATCACAGATCAAATGAAATTAAAATAAACAAGTTATAATAATTCATGTAAACTAGTCAACATAATGTTATTGTCTCTAGTCATACAATTTACAGTTTTATTGTCTCTTGTCAACAGTTAAAACTACTGATGACGTATTATACTGTCTCTAGTCAACAGTTAAAACTACTGATGACGTATTACACTGTCTCTAGTCAACTACTGATGACGTATTACACTGTCTGTAGTCAACAGTTAAACCTACTGATGACGTATTATATTGTCTCTGGTCAACAGTTAAAACTACTGATGACGTATTACACTGTCTGTAGTCAACAGTTAAAACTACCGATGACGTATTACACTGTCTCTGGTCAACATTTAAAACTACTGATGACGTATTACACTGTCTCTGGTCAACATTTAAAACTACTGATGACGTATTACACTGTCCCTGGTCAACATTTAAAACTACTGATGACGTATTACACTGTCTGTAGTCAACAGTTAAAACTTCTGATGACGTATTATACTGTCTCTAGTCAACAGTTCAAACTACCGATGACGTATTACACTGTCTCTGGTCAACATTTAAAACTACTGATGACGTATTACACTCTCTCTGGTCAACATTTAAAACTACTGATGACGTATTATACTGTCTCTAGTCAACAGTTAAGACTACTGATGACGTATTATACTGTCTGTAGTCAACAGTTAAAACTACTGATGACGTATTACACTGTCTGTAGTCAATAGTTAAACTACTGATGACGTATTTGTATTTTATCTACAGGACTAATACTGTGTTTATATTTATTGTTTATTTTATTGTTTAATTTATTTAAAATGTCTTCAATATTTTTTTTGTATATATTTATTTTCAATGAAAAATACTGTTTACAAAAACTCGTGTTTATTTTTATACGTTCAATCGTGTCTTTGCGCTTGTGTCTATGTTTGGCCCACAGACTTCAATTCTTTGGTGCATGCCCAAGCACCAGGGACAGAGCCATGCCCAATGTCCTTTATTTAGGTGCATGTCCAACCCCCAGGGGTGGTGAAATGAAATGAAATGGGGTTTAACGTCCTATAGGTCTGCTCCGACTGGTCTAATGAAGACGGACATTCACCATACAATGTGCTATGACCAGTGCCGGACTGGGCCCACCTGTCCACCTAAGCTCATTTAAAAAATGTGGGCCTAAGCCCATAAAGAAAAAAGAGAAAGAAAAAAGAGAAAGACAGGAGGGGGGAGGAAAGAAAAGAAATCTGTTATCTAAGTGTATCAGGAAATCAAAAATTTGCCATTTTCTGCTTTGGTGTGAAATGCTTGGAAAATGGGTTTGTGGTTGTCAATTTTCAAAATCTTTCTGGGGGAGACCCCCCCCCCCCCAAAAAAAAAAAAAACCCTCGGACGTTCGTGAGACTTCGGCGCTTACTTAGGTGGGCCTTGGTTAATGGCCTGACAGGTGGGCCTTTGGTCCGGCACTGGCTATGACTGATATTTTGCCAGAACAGCGGCGCTACGACCTACTCTTATTGCGAATTCCAACTGCCAAGGGATCTTTTACGTGCACGCCAATGTGTATAAGGGACCTAGGTTTTTCGTCAAATCCGAAGGACTAGGCAAATTTTCTCGGGCAACACCGGGAGCCAACCCGTGACCTCTCGGCTAGCGAGCCAGCGTCTTACTCACTAAGCTACCGTGCACGCCCCCCCCCCCCGAAAAAAGGGGCGGTGCCACACCCACTTTTTTGTAAATATTTTATCTGTAAATCCTCTACTGGTCTCACTTGTTAACCCTTCGGCGTGATCAGTCATTTCAATAACAGCGTTGTACCTATTTATATTTATCCGTGTCCCATCCCCCCCCCACCCCCAAGGAAAGGCAGAGCCATCCCAATTTTGGTGTTTACCGTCTACAGGCCGCAATTCTGAATTTGTCATCTGATTGCCCCGATCCCCAGAAGCGGGGTCACTCCTTTTTTATTTCTGCTAATATTTTCTCTGTAAATTTGGTAAAACAAACCTTCTTTGTCTCTTGTTATATTGAGAACTAGATGAAGCCCATTTATACCCAGCCTTCTCAGCAAATCCTGAGATTTCCTACCATTTTATTAATCTCTTTCACCCACCAAAATTGATTGCCAAGGCAGCGGCTTTATATGTGTTTTTGACATTTGATAAGAGATGTAAATAAAATTTGGTGGTAACTACATGTAGGTGTTGATATACATGTACTACTGTTTGTATGAATATATTTTCACCGTACAGTTATCAAGATTTGTGAGACTTAATTGATCAATCCTGAATAAATTGTTGTTCCTTCCTCATTTCCAAACAATATTTAGCGCGTGTGCGTTTTATCATAAGGTCTGTCTTTGAGTCAACTGGCTTGGTTTCGATTCCCCAGTTGTATGTGACAAGGAGTAGGGTCGCTTGTCCAACCTCGTGGGTTTTCTCCGGGTCCTCCGGTTTCCTCCCACTGCTAAATACCCCTACGTGCAAGCGAATTATAGAGATAAAATAAAGCGTGTGTCAGTCCCGAAATGACCTAGTTTGTGTCGAGTGGGCGTTAGACCCCATCTCTCTCTCTCTCTCTCCAATATATTTGGAATTTTGAATCTTTGTGAAATTCAAGCATAATACATGTCTCTAAAAGATTGGGGAAATGTGGTGGCTCAGTGAGTAAGGCACTGGCTCGCTAATCAGGGAGTACATGATTCGATCCCGGTGTTAACCAAGAAAGTTTTCGGGTATTTTCCAGCGTCGCAAGATGGAGGGTGTGGTAAGGACAGGGTCTAGTCTTTTTGATCGGGTGAGAAGAACAACCGAGTCCCTGTATACGTAGGCGTGAACGTAAAAGAACCCTTGACAGTTGGAATTCGGAAGAAGAGCCGATCGCCAAATTTGGTCGAGAAAGTTCTCAGAGATTTTCCAGTGTTGTTTCCCTTTATTAGTGATGTAGGACGGGGGGTATGGTAAGGGTAGCGTCTAATCTACCGGATAGTATGAACAACCGAGGTACAGTGTACACGTTGACGTGCACGTAAAAGACTCCTTGACAATTAGAATTATAAAGAGTAGTATGCCATAGGCAGCTGTCCTGGCAAATTTTCCAGCTTTGTTTCTCCCTTGTTAGTGTCTCAGCGCCACATTTAGGGCAACCATCCCTCATATCGCACTCTATCACCTATGTCCGTCTTTAATAGCATCTTGGGGGCAGCAAAGTAGGACGTTAAACCCCATTTAATTTATTTTATTTCTCTAAAATATTTGTCATCTAACCTTACGAATTCTTTGTATCTGTGATAGTTTACAGGTAAAATACCTTACGTATAATGTGGACAAGACTTTAAACCCCAATCATCATATCCAGTAACCTTATTGTATATTACATATTACATAAAAACAACTGAGTTAGTCTCAATACGTTACTTAATACTTTATACAGGATGTCAAACGTAGTTTTCTTTAATAGTGTCTCATTATACCTCACCCCTGCACACATCTCCACCTCCCGGCACATATCTTACCCCTTCCACTCCACACCCACACACAACTCCCGGCAACTATCGTACCCCACCCTCTCCACACCCACACACACCTCCCGGCAACTATCGTACCCACCCCGTCTACACCCACCCCTGGCAACTATCGTACCCACCCCGTCCACACCCACACCCGGCAACTATCGTAGCCCACCCATTCTAGGTATTGCTGTTTAACCCCCAACTATTGAACAACTAATCCACCACCCAAACTAGGTCATTTTGGGACTAACATGGTTTATTTTATTTCATTAATTCGATTGCGTGTAGGGGTCTATGAAAGAAATATCAAGAAGTTTGTCAGCTTGTGATTAGCCTATGACGTTGCCTCATCACTGACCAGGATGTTCAGGGTTCGATTTTGGTGATGATCTAAACGTTTCTTATTACTTTTCCAATCAGTGGTCCATGACAGACAGTCTGAACAGAAAAACGGTGTCTATTTGTTCAGAGAGAGGGGGAGAAATGGGGTGTCCACTCGACACAAACTAGGTCATTTCGGGACTAACATGGTTTAATTTTATTTCAATCATTCGCTTGCGCGTAGGGGTCTTTAGCAGTGGGAGGAAACCGGCTATTTGTTCAGAAAGTGTATATTAATGGCAGAACGTTTAAGATCCCCCAGACAGTTGTAGATAGACCAGTCGCCCTCCCCTACAACTTATGATCGGAATTTCACATATATAGCAGTGAGTCACGTGCAAGCTGGGAATCGAAACCACTCCACTTAACCCAATGACAGAATTTACGCCCCCTCCCCTCCCAACAAACAAACAAACAATTCGATTGTAATAATAAATATTGTTTGTTTGTTTGTTTGTCAATTTATACAATTGGAATATATTTGATTTAATAATAAACTAATTGTCTCTTGTCTGTATTTATTTCTAGTATTTTATAATTTATTCATTAAATGTCAGGTACAAGAGGTGAGGTGGGGAGTTGTTGGGTTATAATGGGAGGTAACTCTTACCAAAGAAAAATAGATCGACTTCAACACACTAATGATCACTGGCTAGTATTGACATCAATATTAAATCCATGCCATATTTATTTAATATTCCGATGATTTTAATCTTTATAACAACAAGAGACCAACATGTGTCAATCCTCTGATAAAGATATTGAAAGGTATGAATCTGGAAGGTTGTTTATATAATGTTAAACAATGGATGTCATTGTAACATGCTAAATGTCAACGATGAAGTCGTGGGTTCTACTCACAGGCTCTGTAAAATATCGCAGAAGATGTTTGTGCAACATTAGCTTGGGCCTTTATCCTGTCAGGAATCGACCATGTAATTCTTTACTAACTGGTATTACGGACGAAGAAGTTGCAAAGCTTCAAAGATTGCCAAAACAATGCTGCTTACATTGTCACTAAAACTAAATCCAGATCAGACATCACACTAGTCTTAAACAAATAACATTGGCTCCAAGTTCCAGAAAGGACCAACTTTAAAATATGATCTTTAACCTATCGATCTATTAACAAATCTGCTCCAGGTTATCTTCAAATTCTAGTATTATTGTATCATTAGAAGGTAAATTGTTATTGGATGTATCTACCTGTAGGTACCTAAACGCCGCTTACCTATCAGAAGGTAAATTGTTATTGAATGTATCTAACTATCTACCTACCTGTAGGTTTAACTATCAGAAGGTAAATTGCTATTGGGTGTATCTACCTGTAGATACCTAAACTCCCATTACCGGTCTTTGATTCTCCAAAATGAAATAGGGATAACGCAACTTGATGATCGGGATTCGTTTTATTTCCCGCGTATTTTTTTTATTCTGCTGTAAAATTCACAACGAAACGAAGGAATGTTCTGATAATACGAGAAGGTGTTTATTTTAAATGCCATTTAAAGACCCGTCTTCTATTCACTTAATTCATTCAATATTAGCTTAGTTTGTGTATGAAAATAATAATCGTCATAGATTTATTATCTCTTGTTTAATTCAGATATATTGTATTCAATCATCTCTAGTTTGTGATTCTTCATTTATTAAATTCCTTAAATACTACTACTTGTTGTAATTTAACAACAACTTTCAACTTTACCTGTTCTTTTCTTTCAATCGCTGATGTAATAGTTCAGGCCTATAAATACATTTATTTTGTTCTATTCTATCTAGGCCTATAAATCCATTTATTTTTGGATAATATTATATTCAAGATATAGACCAACTAGACTTACTAAGAGTAAATCCCCCCGGGGTTTGCTGAACACTTTGAAGGCGAGTAAGTAAGTATATTAGGTCTATATATTAAATATAATATTATCCAAACATTAATGGATTTATAGACCTTAATTATATAGAACAAAATACAAAATAAATATATTTATAGTCCTGAATCATTACATCACAAACAAAAAAAGAAAGAGCAATGTTGAAAGTTATGGTTAATTTTGCAACAAAATTTAAACTGTCAAGGAATCATTTCAGGCATACTTATTTATAAAAGACCATTCGTCAGTCCTTCTTGCAGTACAAGTAATGCAGTCAATGGAGTCTATTTAATTGTGGATATTAAAGGGGAAAGCAATAAAATGGGGTTTGACGTCCTACTTTTCTCAACAAACCAGGCTAAAGATGTGTACTGGGATGTAAACTTTTCATCTCCTCTTCTCTTCATCAAATTGAAATGCCCATCTTCTTACCATACGAACAACTAGACGGATATTTAAATAAAATGAAAGCGGCTTACACTGTAACCCAAGTATCGTTTAATCTTGTGTATCTAGCACAAGATTAAACGATACCTGGGTTACAGTGTTAACACCCTACCTTTCTGCTTCATAAATGCTAATCAAGACGGCTATGCAGTGTTCTATGAGGGAAATTTGACTTGGACAGCAGCGCTACGACCTCCTCTTATTTCAAATTCCAAGTGTCAGGGGTTCTTTTACGTGCACGCCAACTTGAGACGGATAAATAAAAAAGATGGAGAAAATACAAAGTGACATTTTATTTTACAAGTTTGAAAATACATAATCTCCCAAGTTAAATAGCTAGTCTACAGTGATGTTATAGAAATTTACTGTTTATATAATCTTCTCTCCTGGTCTATATAATACATTGGAACAAATATACATAAGTTCAGCTTTTAAAACCCCTGCAGTCAGCACTGAACACTTGTTTAATATATATTTATATCATATAATAGATACATATCTATATCTGTGTTCTTTTAATACAAAAAGGATTATAATGTACAATTCTATAATATAATTTGAAGGCAAAAATTGATGCAATTTGAAAATAGCATTTAGGAAGGAGGCCCAGCAGTTGTCTCCCTTTGATGCAGAGTTATGTCCCTTTATAGCAATAAAAAAATTAAGGGAGATAATAAATAAATGTGATTAGTTTTATCAGTAAGTAATATACATACATACCTTAATTACAGGTACACAAACTCGCACCTGACCACACCTGACATTAAATAAAGTGACCATAGGAATAAATAACGATATGGAACACCAATATTTCAAATAATAATAATATAATAATAATAAACATAATAGTTATTATACCAATATTGGATGCGATTTGTTTATTTTTAATTATTTCAAATATAAATTATGCAGCTTGTTACCCAAACAAATGTAGGCTTCTTGGCCACAGATGTTTCGGCTACAGACGTTTTGACCTGAAATAGTTTGCTCCTATTAGGGCCTATTGAACCTTTGTGGCTAAAACATCCGTTCACCATCGAACTTTTCTATTATCGGTCTTGGGCAAATCAACTCATGCATTACTCAAAATTTAAATCGTTTCTTGTGAACGAAAGGGTTAATTACTCACATTCATTTCCCTTTTGACATTTGGTCAACTACATTCACGGATTGCATCCAACAAATCTGGGTGATCCCTCAGGTCTTTCCAAGACCATTTTTTATAGGTCCTTTGGATAAATTCTGATCAATCCTTTTTTTGTGTAAACAATATTTTATTTCAAAGAGATGAAAAGGGGTCAGGGAACAGGTATAGTACTTCTAAATCCTTTCTGACTAACAACCAATTCGAATTCTTATAAATTTTAAAATGACAATTATTGACTTCCATGATCACAAGAAAACAGTGAGGGACAGGACAGTGAAGATTGCATAAAATCTAAAAAACGCTGACTAAATCAAATCAATTCAATTGTTCATTATTTAGGATCTATTTGACTCTACTCACGGTACATTTTAAAATTGGCCCCGAAGAACTATAATTTAGCTTGATGTGGCCTTTAATAGTTAAATTAACAAATTGCACTATAAATTAAGAACGAAAAACTTGCATCATGAAATTATTGCGTTAATTCTCAAGTTATTAAAGACCTAGTTCAAGCTGTGATAAATTTTCAAGCAATTTATATCTTGGCCTTAACCTTGGTCCCATGTTAGAAATCCTGTCAAAGGCTTTTCATTCCATCTGAAGGACTAGACACTGTTCCTCGTATTATAATCGTATCAAGGTCAAGCTTGACATTAGTTAGCTTCCGAAACAATTTACATAATGTCTTCCAATAATAGTGAGTGTCTAGCTATACGATATTAATTTACGACTGGTAGATAATGACTACAAACCAGGAGAAAACCAAGATAATCTTTCAATTTCAATATCCAAGCATAAAAATATTTACTCCATGTAAACAATTGAATTTAGAACATATTTTTACAAAGATGTTCAAATTGAAAAACTCCATTGCACTTTAAATGTAATAACAATTGTCTTAAACAATGAAGGCAACACATTGTAATAATATTTGGGTTTTTTTTGGTGTTTCTAACATTAGAATCAGACTGTACACTAAAGCCTGAGATATTACATTGAATCAGAGACCCTAACTACCATTACAATTTTATATCTTTTTAAGGAAAGTTGAAAAAAAATATATTTTACTCAAGACCCTGCCCCCCCCCCCACTGTTATCTGTGAGAGAGAGAGGGAGAGAGAGAGAGAGAGAGAGAGAGAGAAGGGGGGTTAATGTCCGCTCCACACAAACTAGGTCATTTTGGAACTAACATTGGTTTCAGTTTTATTTCAATAATTCCCCTGCATGTAGGGATCTTTAGCAGTGGGAGGAGATCGACGGGACTTGAAGAGAACCCACGAGGTTGGACAGGCGATCCTAATCCTTGTCACGTTCATGCGGGGAACCCGGGGAATCGAAACCACACCACTTCACTCAATGACAGACCTTATGATACAGCGCGCACTCAACCTCCCAATATTCTGTCTGGCTGTAATAGTTCATTAGTGCGTGTAATATTTCCAGAACTGTATTAAACTGAAATGGTCCAGCAAGTTATTTTATTTATTCTTAACAAATGTTAGAATAATTCCGCAATCTTTCTATTATGATTTGTTAATAATACTGATACCTTTTGGGGGGGGGGGGAGACACAGTGAAGAACAGTAGAGCAATAAAAAGCATCAAGTGGAGCACGGTAGAGTGATAAAAAGCGTCCAGTGAAGAACAGTAGAATGATAAAAAGCATCAAGTGAAGCACGGTAGAGAGATAGAATGTGAGAGCGATGATAATCAGTCACCTAATATCAATAACAAAAAAGATAAAATCAAAAAGATTCATCTTCACAAAGTCAAGTTATTATGACATAGATCTAACGGACATACGTCATACATTTAACATGTACAAGATTGGTTTCAAAGCTATACCACTTGACTAAACAGAAAACTCGCCCCCCTCTCTAACATCCCAGCATTACACAGGTAACTTGTGTATAGATGTATGTTGTAATATCTTGACGTTGTGAAGATCAAGTGTGTCATGAAATGAACAACTTACAGACGTAATAATTCAGAAGATATCATAAACTCTACAGATTCTACTTCAGTCGGACTCGAGTTCTACAGACATGACAGCCATATACATGTATTCATATCTAATAAATCATCTGAAAATTATTCCTTAGTAGTTTCACTAAAAAGGAACCAGCTGATCAAACAATTTCTAAGATCTTAAAAGTTCAGAGGCCTTGCTCACGAAAAACAAAACTCCAAAATATTTGAAGGATTTAGTACAAATTTTCGCTTTCATTCAATGATAAATCTGCATTCTAGAAAGTATTTTAGTTTTGTTTTTCACCAACAAGGCCTCAGAAATAATTGGTAATATATAATACTTAAAGTGCATGGTTGTCCATTATTATTAAAATTTATTAAAGCCCTACAATTACTATATCAGTGATGGACAATTTATTGAACGCCCATTGACCTTAGTTCAATATCTGACAAGCCACTAAACATGATAATCTACAATGTAAATATCTTTCTTTCAGCAAACCGCTGGAAAGATTCATCACTTAATGTCATTACCATTACTAAATCAGGCACACCCATCACTTAATTTCATTACCATTACTAAATAAGGGTTATATCTCATATAAGACACGCCCATTACTTTATTTCAGATTTACAATCGCTAGATATACTGGAAACTGATGTGACATAAGACCACGAACATGTCTGGATTAAATATATTTCATTCCTAATACATAGTCACCTTCCAAAAATTAAGTTATTAAGTATTTTTCAGACAGATTGAATGCTGATTCATGTAAGGACAGTATTAATTAATTAATTCATTTTTAACATCAACCCAACCTGATTAAAATATAGATCTACATGTCGTATGATTTATTTTAATACTTTCGATGGCCTTCACTACATGTACATTAAAATCTGACCGGTTGTAGTGGCTTCGATTTATTTTCTATTGCTGCATAAGTCTACCGACAGTTCTGCACGATAAAAGCTCGAATCAGCAGACCATTTGATTGGCTAATCCTTCACATCACGGCGAACAAACGTTGTATAACAACCCTTCTTAATCCTAGTATAGTGAAGACAAGTAAAACAAAGTTTTGAACTATACAAAACGAAACGAAATAGGACTATCCGATACATGTACAGATAAAACTATTATTTCTACACCGGTCCATGATCAATCAGTCTTACTTCCTGTAGATGAGTTGGAAATCAAATTCTTCATTTTTAGTTTGAAAAGAAACCTTACTACAAAAACCCCAAACCTTGCCCGTTTTAAAAAGGCTAATTTCTTTTCATTGTCCGAGACAATAAAACCTTGACCAATGAAACAAAAGTATCCTTAAAATATATCATTTCAAGGTTCATAATTAAGGCCCCTGGTTTGTAGTTAAAATATGAATTTTTAGGCTCCCATGACTGCACCATGCCATTCTGTACAGAACATAAGGTGAGCTGACTGCAGTTTGATTAAAATAATGGTGCAACCGACTGCTTCTTAACGTACCATGACAATCAGCCGGAACCATCTTTAACAGCTCCAGAATCATCTTTAACAGTTCCAGAACTATCTTTAACAGTTCCGGGATCATCTTTAACAAAAGAACTATCTTTAACAGTTAAAGAACTATCTTTAACAGTTAAAGAACTATCTTTAACAGTTAAAGAACTATCTTTAACAGTTAAAGAACTATCTTGAATAGTTCCAGAACTATCTTTAACAGCTCCCATCTTTAACTCTACTTTTACAGTTCTAGAACCATCTTTAACAGTTCCAGGACCATCATTAACAGCTCCATACCATCTTAACAGCTCCGGAAGCATCTTTAATCATTACCTATCAATTGATTCCTGACTGTTTAAGTAACATAGCTGATTCTTGTATAAATGTATTATCTATTTGTTTTTATTGGTGATATTGATCAAGTTTAAAATATTAAAATAATAATATTTAACTGTCTGGTGATTATACAGGACAATATAAAACATAGTCCATTATAAAATAAACACAAGAGTTCTTGCCCTTGGATTACGATTTTTTTAACCTGATCACTCTGACTTCACACTTCTCTCCATTTCTTCTTCTTCTTCTTCAATCTGTGACGAGACGAAATGTTGATAATATCATGCCGACCTATGACCCATATAATTCTACAACTCTGATAATATCCTGCAAACAAGTCGACCTATGACCCGCTAACTTTACAACGCATTTCAACAAGAAAAGATTCTCGACGTGTCGAAACAATGATGAAATCCAGTTATTGGCTTGCTTATTGTACAGTAAGTTTGATGAAGAAATAATTCCTGACTTCTAGTAACCATTAATTATATTACTACTTGTGTTCTATATATATCACTTTAACTGTGTAATAAGTCTGTCATCAGTATATTGAGGTTTTCTAGTCCTTTAGTAGTACACTTAAACACTCATACACTGTTACATGCATGTGCATGTTCACCCACACACATGCGTAAGCACATAATTGGAAGATCGGGTTACACTCAACTGTTTTTTGATTGATGGACTCCAAATCATCAAGAATATTAATTAAAAACAGATAGTGAATATTTTGGTCTTCTAGTTCCTTGCATCTAGAGGGCGGGGTTCTGTTTTGCGGAGCTAAGTACCAAATAATAATAATAATAATAAAAACAGGGAGGGGGGTTGTAACTATGGTAACCATAGTTGTTATAAGGGGGTCTGTGAAGAGAAAGAACTGGTACTACTACTACCACTTAAACTTAACATGCTGCCACGTACACTGTTTGTATCATTGTCAAATTCACGTAGCGACGCGTCCGCCACTTCTAATGCATTTAATCCTTTTGCGGCCGTCTCCACGTCAAAGTCATGTAACTCTCGTTCCTGTTTTTGTAACTGATGCCTTAGTCTTTCTTTTTCCTCCTTTTCAAAAATCATTCTTTCATCATCCATCTATAAATATAGAAATTAGAATAGTTTAGTTAAACAATTACATATAAAGGGTAGGGTGAGAGAGAGAGAGAGACAGAGAGAGAGTGTGTAACACTGGCATGACAATCATCATCCATCTATAAATATAGAAATTATAATATCTTAGATAAACAATTACATATAAAGGGGAGGGTGGGAGAGGGAAAGGGGGGGGGGGAGAGGAGAGAGAGAAAGAAGGAGAGAGGAAAGGAGGGTGTAACATTAGCTTGATACAAACTCAGTCATTTTGAGACTAGCCTGTCAATAATTTACTTGCATGTAGGGGTCTTTAACAGTAGAATCCAGGGAAAACCCATGAGACTAGGGACCAATAATTTACTTGCTTGTAGGGGTCTTCAACAGTAGGAGGACACAGAGGATCCAGAGAAAACCCATGAGGTTAGGTCCCAATAATTTACTTGCTTGTAGGGGTCTTCAACAGTAGGAGGACACAGAGGATCCAGAGAAAACCCATGAGGTTAGGGACGAATAATTTACTTGCTTGTAGGGGTCTTCAACAGTAGGAGGACACAGCGGATCCAGAGAAAACCCATGAGGTTAGGTCCCAATAATTTACTTGCTTGTAGGGGTCTTCAACAGTAGGAGGACACAGAGGATCCAGAGAAAACCCATGAGGTTAGGTCCCAATAATTTACTTGCTTGTAGGGGTCTTCAACAGTAGGAGGACACAGCGGATCCAGAGAAAACCCATGAGGTTAGGTCCCAATAATTTACTTGCTTGTAGGGGTCTTCAACAGTAGGAGGACACAGAGGATCCAGAGAAAACCCATGAGGTTAGGTCCCAATAATTTACTTGCTTGTAGGGGTCTTCAACAGTAGGAGGACACAGAGGATCCAGAGAAAACCCATGAGGTTAGGTCCCAATAATTTACTTGCTTGTAGGGGTCTTCAACAGTAGGAGGACACAGAGGATCCAGAGAAAACCCATGAGGTTAGGTCCCAATAATTTACTTGCTTGTAGGGGTCTTCAACAGTAGGAGGACACAGAGGATCCAGAGAAAACCCATGAGGTTAGGTCCCAATAATTTACTTGCTTGTAGGGGTCTTCAACAGTAGGAGGACACAGCGGATCCAGAGAAAACCCATGAGGTTAGGTCCCAATAATTTACTTGCTTGTAGGGGTCTTCAACAGTAGGAGGACACAGCGGATCCAGAGAAAACCCATGAGGTTAGGTCCCAATAATTTACTTGCTTGTAGGGGTCTTCAACAGTAGGAGGACACAGCGGATCCAGAGAAAACCCATGAGGTTAGGTCCCAATAATTTACTTGCTTGTAGGGGTCTTCAACAGTAGGAGGACACAGCGGATCCAGAGAAAACCTGTGAGGTTAGGGACGAATAACACAATTAGGATTTATTTATTTATAACCATCAAATTACTGTCTGTTCTAATAACAAAATGAAATGATGTTTAACGTCCAACTGTTCTAATAATGAAATTAAATGGTGTTTAACATCCACCTATTCTAATAACGAAATGAAATGGTGTTTAACGTCCACCTGTTCTAATAATGAAATGGTGTTTAACATCCACCTGTCCAGCACCTACTGGGATAATGAAGACAGGATCTCTTAGTAAACGACAATCTACTTACTTTCTGCTCTAATAATGCTCGTCTTAACGAAACCCGTTCCTCTAATTGCTTGCGTTCTTTTTGATGTTGCGATTCGGCTTGCATCTTTAGTTTACTCTGATAGGCAATAAGTAGTTCTAACTCTTGTTGTAACCTTTGTTTTAATTCATTGGCCTCGGCTAACTGAGCTTCATCCAATCTTACCTGTAAAAATAACAATAAACATTTTTACATTTCCTCACATTTGTAGTCATCGAACAGTTATCCATGAACATCCTATATACCTACCCTAGCCCTAATCCGTCAAATACCTGAGCACCACCCAACATAGACTAAAAGCATCAAGTACTACAGTTTTATTACGTGAACAGTTGATAATTCTGCCTGATTTTGCTGTAGTATTCTTTATTTCATTCGGCAGTGGAGAGAGGGAAAGAGAGGGGGACATGGGGTTTAAAGTCGACTCGACACAAACTAGGTCATATCGGGACTAACGTATGGTTCAATTTTATTTCAATAATTCGCTTACATGTAGGACACGGACATAACCCACAAGGTTGGACAGGCGACCCTATTCCTTGTCACATACAACCAAGGAATCGAAACCACGCCAGTTGACTAAATGACAGAAGCTAACCACTGGACGGTGGTAACTTACATTTTGTTGTTGTAACATTTCTGCTATACTTTGTTCGTATTGTTCACCTAGTAACGCTAGTTTACGCATCTGTTCCTCCTTTAACTTTTTGCCTACAGCCTTCTGTTCGTTTTTAGGCGTCGTATGTAATATATGTTCTTTTAAGGCTTTATATTGTTTCTGTTGCGTCTTTACCGCCTCGTTAAACTGTTTACGGATCTGAATTTCTTTTTGCTGAAAAGATAAAATCAGGTAACAAAAATTAAAACTGGGGTTTAATGTCCTACTATTCTGTTCCTACGTGACATAAACCATTCAGTGTACTAGTAGGGAAATTTTGCTCTGACAGTGGCACTATGACCTACTCTTACTTTGAATTCCAACTGTCAAGGGGTCTTTTACGTGCATCCAGTAAAATAGTAAAAGTTTCTACTGAGGCCATACAAAACAATACATTCTGATTCTCAGACAACTCCTTCCTAAAATTCTTCTTTTGTTTTTGTGTCTTATTTTGTCAAAAGACTTGTCATAAACAAACTTCTATTAGAAAATATACCAAAATAATACATCAAAAGTACCTGGACAGGTAAAATTCTTTAGTATAATCCCCAAAATAAAAAGTCTGGACAGACGACCCTAGTCCTTGTCACGTAGATGCTAGGAGGAGAAAGGGAGAGAGAGAGAGAGAGAGAGAAATGGGATTTCATGTCCACTCGACACAAACTAGGTCATTTCGGGACTAACATATGGTTTAATTTTATTTCCATAATTTGCTTGCGCGTAGGGGTTTTTATAAAAAAAAACCTGATTATCTTACCCTTAAACTACGAGGTTGTTGTTTAACCTCCATTGCATGTTTTTTCTTTAAATCTGATTCGACACGAGCATTGTATTCTTTCTGATTCTCTCGTTCCATCTCGTGTTGTTTTCTCAGTTGTTCATCACGTAATTTCTGTAGAGCTGCCAAATGTTTAAATTCTAAGTCTTGGGTGGATTCATGATGTCTAATTGACATTCGGTGTTCATATTCTAACTGAGCTTTCTTCTGACTAAGTTCCTGTGAAATAAACAATTAAAACATTGAAGCATATGGGACGAGACAACAATTTACCTGTCAGCCTTAGATGTATACTAAACTTATGGTGTCTGTCTACAATTAGCACCACTGTAGGTACATCAAATAAACCATACTAAACTCAGACTGTCTGTCTACAGTTAGCACCGCTTGAGAACAGACACTAAGCTAATTGACCGACATTTTAACTCCTAAATCAACGATTTTAGCCTAAAACAAGTATTTTTTCTATTTCCTTTAATAAAGAGAGAGAGAGAGAAAGAGAGAGAGAGAGAGAGAGAGAGAGAGAGAGAGAAGGGGGGTAGCGTCCACGCCACAAACCAGGTCATTTCGAGACTAACATATGGTATAATTTTATTTTAATAATTTGCTTGCTCGTAGTGTCGTTTAGCAGGAGGAAACCGCAGGACCTGGAGAACACCACGAAGTTGGACAGGCGACTGTAATCCTTGTCACATACAACCAGGGAATCAAAACTTATGATGCAGCACGCATGCGCTAAGCATTTGGCCATGCAACACCCCCTTCCATTTAATAAGATGGAAACAGTTTATTCAGTCTGTGTGTGTATAACAGATGCAACACGGAGTAGAATCGTATTACAGAACAGTATATCAATTTGGGGATATGGCGGCCATTCAGGGCAGATATCTATTATCAAAGTAGATAGTTCTCTTATGTGTAGAATACCGCGGAGGAGCTTCATTTATCAAGTTGGTATTGGACTCGAAAACTTGTCAAGTGTGTTATAACGTCACTATCATGTAACCCTGACAACATGTCACCAACAGTTTAATCCCCCGCTCAACACAAACCCCCATCATTTTGGGACTAACATATGCTAAATGTATTTCTATAATTCGTTTGTGATGTTTATCTGTGGGACTAAACCAAAGGACCCTGAGAAACCTCACATGGTTGGGCAGGCGACCCTACTCCTTGGTCATGCACACTCGTAGTTGGGATTGAAACCACACCACATGACTCAATAACAGACCTTGTGATCTAAAGCGCATGAGTTATATCATTTGACCACCCAACCCCCAAACCCGAAATAAAATGAAATTAAATGGGGTTTAACGTCCTACTGTTCTGCTCCTATACTGGGCTAATGAAGACGGGAATACGCCATACAGTGTGCTATGATGGAAATTTTGCCCGGGCAGCGGCACTATCGCCTACTCTTATATCAAATTCCAACTGCCAAGGGACCTTTTACGTGCATTCCAATGTATACACGGGACCTCGGTTTTTCGTCTCATTCGAAGGACTAGACAGCTGTCCTTGTCAGGCCCTCCGTTCTGCATCACTGACAAGGGGAAACCAAGTCGGAAAATCCTGATGAACTTTCTCGGCCAATGCAGGGATCGAACACCCGACCTCCTGGCTATTGAGCCAGCGTCTTAACCACCTAGCCACCGTGGCTCCCAAACCCAAAATAAAGTAATAATGGAAACCAAAATACCTCGCGTAGTAGTGACTGTTCTAACCGATGAAACTGTATCTTTTTTTGCCGATTAAAGATACGAAGTTTAAAGTCCATGTGATCCTGGTGTTGTTTCTGTAGTTTATATTCCTCATTCTTCATCTTGCGTAACGTTGCTTCTTTATACGTTTTTACAGCATCCTCCTTTTCTTTCCTCGGTGTACTTTTAGAATCATGATCCTGAAAAACAGAGAGAGATGGGGGTTTAACGTCTACTCAATGTAAACTTGATCATTTTGGGACTAACATATTGTACAATTTTATTTCAATACTTCGGTTTTTAGCAGTTGGAGAAAACCCACAAGGTTCTACATACAAGTGACTCTATGACAAATCTTACGTTCTAAAATACACAAGTCAGACAATTCTGACACCCAAACTCCACCATAGGGTCCAATAGTAAATACCAATGTAATTATATTTAAAAACCAGCGGCTGCCAGGCAGGATACGCCCACATTTTCGAGAGATGGATAGAAAACAAGCTATAACGAAAGTGATTTTTCCTACAATCAAGGGCCATAATTCAGGAAATTACAATTCGATATGCGCAAAGATCTTTGAGTTATAAACTTACATTTCAAGTTTCAACAAAATCGGATAAAAATTGTGACCTCTATAGGGTCCACAACCTTGATATACCATACTTTTACGCAATTTGAGAACGAGGGGCAGCCATTTTGTCTGTCAGTTTTGGGCCGATTTTCACGAAATTCGAACTCAGTCGTCCTTAGGGTGTAACGGTGATATAATAATACGTTTTTTTTAAAATCGGATAAAAATTAGGACCTCTATAGGGTCCACAAGCTAACCAGCGGCTGCCAGGCAGGATACGCCCACATTTTCGAGAGATGGATAGAGAACAGGCTAAAAAGAAAGCGATTTTTCGTACAATCAGGGGCCATAATTCAGGAAGTTACAGTCCGATATGCACGAATATCGAAAGGAACCGAGATCTTTGGATTATAAACTTACATTTCAAGTTTCAACAAAATCGGATAAAAATTGTGACTCTATAGGGTCCACAACCTTGATATACCATATTTTTACGCTAATTGAGAACGAACGACGGCCATTTTGTCTGTCAATTTTGGGGCGATTTTCATAAAATTCAAACTCAACTGTCCTTAGGGTGGAACGGTAATATAATAAGACAGTTTTTTAAATCGGATAAAAATTATGACCTCTAATGGGTCCACAAGCTAAAAACATGATTTTTCGTACAATCAGGGGCCATAATTCAGGAAGTTACGGTCCGATATGGGCGAATATCTAAAGGGACCGTGATCTTTGGGTTATAAACTTACATTTCAAGTTTCAACAAAATCGGATAAAAATTGTGACCTCTATAGGGTCCACAACCTTGATATACCATATTTTTACGCTATTTGAGAACGAACGGCGGCCATTTTGTCTGTCAGTTTTGGGCCGATTTTCACGAAGTTTGAACTCAACCGTCCTTAGGGTTTAACGGTGATATAATAATACGGTTTTTTAAATCGGATAAAAATTATAACCTCTATAGGGTCCACAAGCCAAAAAACGCGTTTTTACGTACAATCAGGGGCCATAATTCAGGAAGTTACGGTCCGATATGCGCGAATATCGAAACGAATCGAGATCTTTGGGTTATAACTTACATTTCAAGTTTCAACAAAATCAGATAAAAATTGTGACCTCTACAGTGTTCACAAACCAAAAACGTGATTTTTCGTACAATCAGGGGCCATAATCCATGAAGTTACGGTCCGATAGATGCCAATATCGAAAGGAACCGAGATCTTAGGGTGATAAACCTATATTTCAAGTTTCATTGAAATCGGATAAAAATTGTGACCTGTAGACTGTTCACAAACAATTGTGGATGGAAGGACGGACGGACAGGGGCGACAACAATATACGTCCACATGAAAAAGTACACGAGATTTCTTAACAATTCTAGGGGATTCCAATTTTAAAAAAATTATTTGAAACTGTTTGTTTGTAGGTACCTGTCAGGTAAGATATATTCTCCGATAAATATATGGAGTATTTATAAACAAGTCATGAAAATAGAGAATAAACTATGGTCTTTAACTCTTCTACCTGTGACGCAAATTCTTAGTTCAAAATCACTCAATTTATGAGAGAGAGAGAGAGAGAGATGGGTTTAATGTCCACTCAACACAGTCATTTCGGGACTAACATATGGTTCAATTTTATTTCAATAATTCGCTTGCGCATAGGGACCTTTATCAATTGGAGGAAACCAGAGGACCCAGAAAAACCCCACGAGGTTGGACAGGCAACCCTACTCCTTGTCACATACAACCGGAGAATCAAAACCATGCCAGTTGACTCAATGACAGACCTTATGATACAGCACGCACATGCTAACCATTGTTTTATTTCAAACAAATTACCTTCTTTAATTGTTCTTTATCACTTCTATAGGATCGTTTAAAATTCTCAGAGAAACTTCTTCTATCTGTTTCTTGCTGACTAAGCGTATCTTTAACAACTTTCTTTTCTTGGGCTACATACGCCTTTTGCTTAAAACAGAAAGAAATGGCAATAAAGTTAAGTACAGACTACATACGACAAACATTTATAGAATATTTTAATAACATAATAATCAAAAGAAATGAAATTGTGTTTGACGTCCTTATCGTCTGTTCCGACTGAGTTAATGAATATGCTAATAATCAAACAAGTCCTGCACCACTGACGAGCCGAAACCACGTCGGAAAATCCTGATGAACTTTCTCCGACAATGCAGGGATCGAACACGCGACCTCCAGACAAGTGAGCCAGCGTCTTACCCAGTTAACCTCCGCGACTCCAACAAATCAACCGATGTAATAGACAGCTCTATATATCAGACAAACGGACAGGTTTCGGTTTATTTTTAATAAATCACCACAACTAACCTTCTTGTCTAATTCGGAAATATGATTTAATCGTAATCTTTCTAATTCTGTTGCAAATTTATTACGTAATTTTTCATATTCTTTATCTAACTTCGTTTTATGTTCTTCCATTTCTATAGCAAACTTATTCTCCATCTACAACAGAAAAAAAGATAGGTTGCCAGGCAACAAAACATACGCCCACAGCAGCTAAATCGTCCAAGCTATCGACAAGGGTTGTCGCATATTTATTCCTTTGTAGGTAATTGGCGGCCTTTACAAGACAGTTTCATACAGATGAGATTATAAAATTTTGTCGTTTGAGGGTTTACAAGGTTCTACAAACTGAAACAAGGGTCTCAACTCTGGAAGTAATCTACAGAAATTGTTGAAATTTGACAGGCTTTTTCATTTTACTAATTTAAATAATGCATATAAATTTCATACAGGTCACATGATCACTTTTGTCATTGCAACCTTCACAATCGCCATAACTCTAGAAATTAGTGACGGAAATTGCTGAAATTCTATAGACCTGTTTCACAAATTTAAATGATGCATATAAATTTCATACATATCGGATGATAACAGTTGTCAATAGAGTGTTCACAAGATTCAACAAAGTGAAACAAGGGCAATAACTCTAGAAGTAATTATTGTAAATTGCTGAAATACTATAGGCTTTTTCGTTTCACTAATTTAAATGATGCATATAAATTTCATACATTTCGGATGATAACTGTTGTCATTAGAGTGGTCACAAGATTTAACAAAGTGAAACAAGGACAATAACTCAAGAAGTAATTATTGTAAATTGATGAAATACTATAGGCTTTTTCGTTTCACTAATTTAAATCATGCCTATAAATTCCACAAAGATCGGGTGGTAACTTTTGGTGTTAGAGCGTTCACAAGGATCAATAAAGTGAAACAAGGGCCATAACTCTAGACATAATAAACGGAAATTGTTGAAATTCAATAGGCTTCTTCGTCTCACTAATTTAAATAATGCAAATTTTCAGAAAGATCGAATGATAACTTTTGACGTTAGAGCGTTCACAAGGACCAATAAAGTGAAACAAGGGCCATAACTCTAGACATAATAAATGGAAATTGCTGAAATTCAATAGGCTTCTTCGTTTCAATAATCTAAATAATGCATATAAATATCAGAAAGATCGGATGATAACTTTTGACTTTAGAGCGTTCACAAGGTTCAATAAAGTGAAACAAGGGCCATAACTCTAGAAGTAATTATTGTAAATTGCTGAAATTCAATAGGCTTCTTCGTTTCACTAATTTAAATAATGCATATGAATTTCAGAAAGATCGGATAATAACTTTTGGAGTTAGAGCATTCACAAGGTTCAATAAAGTGAAACAAGGGCCATAACTCTAGACGTAATAAACAGAAATTCAATAGGCTTCTTCGTTTCACTAATGTAAACAACATACATCAATTTTAAAACAATTGGATGATAACTTTTGGCGTTAGAGCGTTCACAAGAAATTGTGGACGGACGGACCGACGGACGGACAGACCGACGGGGGCGACGGCAATATACATCCACATTTCAATGTGGGCGTATTAAAATTAATAAAAATAAATCAACCAAGTGGTTGCTAATTACACATGTGAATATAAAACAACATTAGTGCAATCAATGCATTAAACATACATTATTCCAGAGCTAAAACAACGAATTAACGTTATCAGGCAATCAATACATAAAACATACATTATTCAAGACCTAAATCTGACTATTGCAGATCTTTCTTTAGGCATAAAATGTTATCTAAATTATTAATCAGACATTTATTAACTTATCCAGACCTTAATCAACTCTCGATGTCACTCGCTAGCTTGTGATATTTACTGGATTTGAATCCGATTTGCTGCTAAACGCTCATAAATGATTTAAGAATGGATAACCGAGACTATGTTTTTTACCATACCGACTTTAGAAATGATGATCGAGGCTAGGCCTAAAATTCAAAAGCTAAAATCTCGGTTCAGAGTGGATCAATTTGACTGACATTTTTAGCAAATTGCCTTTACATTATATAGTTTTTAACTATTATAGTGAGAACTGCCAGCTCTTTATCTAATCTCCCATAATGTATCTTTAATTCTAAGTATCACCAGTTTCTTCAAATAATCATGACAATCTCTCAAAACAATCAGAAATGAGCAAATAAAAGGGGCGCTATTTTCTGAACCAACCAGACAAAGACAGTTTGGCACCAATGCCTATTCAAAATGAGGGTTCTTTTACATGTAAACGGAATATTGGTCTTCTGTGTCCAATACTACGAAATTATAATGCAACAAAATGGATAAAACCTATTGCAGTTCAGACCAAATTAAATGTTTTGAATTTGAATTGCTGGAATACCAACGACAATATGAGTAAACGGAGTATTTAAATTAGAGTTGTAAATATCACAGAAATAAAAGACAGACTAGGTTTTCTTAACGTCCATGCTGTCAACATTAAAATATTAACAGTGTCCAGAATTAAAATGATTCCAGTTCTACATACCGTTTGTAATTCTTTTTGATGCTGTTTTCGTAATCTTTTATAACCAGTAAACTGTTCACGAAGTTCGTTCGAGTGTTCATGTTCCTTGATCTGTTTATGAACAATCGATGTTGTTCGTATTGTTGCAAAGTTACTCGTACCAACATCTAAACTAGAACTGCTTGCAGATGGCTGAAGAAGAAATAAATTGAGATTTTAGAATAAAGATAGGTTATTTATAGATCTGTTTAAGATGTCTACTGACTCAATGTCAGACCTTATAATCAAATGTGCACACTTTAACCATTCGGTTCCCCGACTCCCCCAACCCCTAATACCAATCAGGGACCATGAATTTAAATGTTGTTTAAACATTATCAAAATTTATATTTCAGATAAGACATCTTTACATAACCAAGGCATATAAAAGAATAAAAACCATAAAATATAAGAGGTTGTCTGAAGATAGTAGCGCAACAATATATTTAAATGAAACAGGGTTTAATGTCAGACTTCCATTATACAGTGTGCTATGAGGGACCCTTTGCTCGGACAGAGGCCTACTTTTATTTCAACAGTCAAGAGATCTTTAACGTGCACGACAATGTGTACACACGACCTTCCCCAGCCAATTATCAATTAGGCAGCTAGCATCTGATTCAATTGGATCACCCGCCTGCCATAATCTTTAGTTTATAAACTTATTCTACTTTCACTCTGATTAGTTGATTGATGATTGTTAATTTCTATATACACCAGAGGTTCGAACCAAACCCGTGATCAGGCTCAGGTACGACTTGATTCAATCGAGGTTCTACCTCTGTCATACACCTTGATTGTGTCAACAACATGAAGAAAATAAGATACAGAGAGAACAAAAAACTGTGTAGGAGTGAAATTATTATAACAGACATGCCAAGATCTAAAGGGACATGCAAAACTGAAAATAAGTGGAATTGTGAGATTATCAATGTAGAGGGTTGTAACATTGTAATCAGTTTCATTATTTATATATTATTATATTACAAACTATCAATTATAGTCTGATATCCTTAAACTCAACTATCTATAATAACTGTTGCCATTTGAAGTTTATCTACAAAACACAGCCCATGTAACCAAATTAATAGAACCAGAAGTGGTAGTGCAATGCCACCAGGCCTATATCATTGCCTGGATTGAGCTGCCCTAATAGAGACACACTCAACACAAACTAGGTCATTTCAGGACTATATGGCGCAATTTTTTTTTCAATAATTTGCTTGTGTGTAGGGTTTTTTTTATCAGTGAGAGGAAACCGGAGGACCTGGAGAAAACCCTCGACGTTGGAAAAATCCCAAATAAAGGTAACAATATCACTACTGTACTTCAATAAAACATTCAAATTTGTTTCATTTTTTTATATATATAATCTACATGGTAAAATTGTTTTAGATTGTCTGAGAACCAATATAATATTTTTATGGCATGGCCTAATCTACATTGAAATATTGTTTTTGATATCTGAAATATTGCTGGATTATGTAAACTACATGTTAAAATGGTTTTAGATCTTTGGGAAGGATTGGCTGATTGTAAAATTGTTTTTGTGTAATATAAAGAAACTGATTACATTGTTTGTTATTTAAACTAAATACAGCTATCATACATCTCTCTTTTTTACTAAATTCATCCAACATAAAATAAATATAACATATTCTTTTAACAAAACAAAATGTATCTTTATTTTATTAGTTCGATAAGTTAAACATAAAAAGCTTGATATCAGTCCCCCACATTTATTACATATGGTATTCCTATATTATTTGACAGGATTTCTGTCTCATTGAGATGAGCGTACAGGCAGTGGTGCAGCAGCGAGAACTTAAGTGTTTGTTCAGCTAACGTCCCAGATTCAAATCCAACTACACATTTACGTCCAACACCCACCCCCAAACACCCCACCTCATTTACAGACATAATTTGATTTGAGAAAATTCAGCTTCTAAAATCTTTAAAAACAAAATAAAAGAATGAAAACTAAGAAATATGACACAGCCAGGACAGTAAATTGCCAAAAACCTAAGAAATGAGATTTGGGAATCAAAGAAGCTCTAAAAAGAAAAATACAAATCACCAAGACCTGTTGAAAAATTAGGTAAAATAAAATAAAAATGAAAAGATGAAATTTCTAGCAAAAATAATTTTTGATATATTTGAGAATAGTTCATTGGGTGATCAAGATCCATGCAAAAGAGATGTTTTGGCGATTGGATAAAACCAGCGCCATTATTTTTACCTTGGTATATTTGTTCGGGCTGTACGACGCACTTCTGTGGAAAAAGGGCCACGCCTTTGAGAAAAATTAAATATTTTAGAATAAATTTGGGTCATAAATTTCAGAAAATATTGCTATGTTTGATGCCAAGTTGAAATAAAATAAAGAAAAAACCCAAACAGATTCAATATTTTTTAAATATTGAATAATGTACAAATACAAGCAATGGATACAAGCAGTACTAGTTCATTAACCATTGCTTTTTTCAACTGTTTCTCTGGGAATTGGTTTGACTGTCAAGTACAGTAGGGTCTACTTTCAGGTTAGTTGGGTACTTCGAGTCACTGTGTCAGACACCACAAGAATTAGGGATAGGTAATCCTAACCTTAAATTCCTGCATGGAAATATCCTCCCCAAATGGACTAAACCCCTTCCAAAACATTGAGAAAATAAACAACCATATGTCAAGCATTTTATGCTAACTTGGTTATCATTGGTCGAATACGAAATTGGTAGACCAATGAACATAACAAACAATTATTGTTATTTAAAATAACAATGGCAATGAGTCATTAATGCTTGTAACCACTGCTTCCGGCAGCACATAATCTTGGCAGACTATCTGTTTTTATCTGCCCATCTTACGATACATATAAATACACAAACAGGCCTGGACATACAACATCTATATTCAATAAGAACTAGGTTATTTCGGGACTAACATATCGTAAAATTTTATTTCTATAATTCCAAACCAGGACATAAGGCAGCAGACATAGATGGTATCAGATATAAATTAACACACAATGTATATATTTTAATTTGTGTCTAATAAAGACTGTGACAGATGTCTTACGTCCTGGTTTATATAATTCACTTGGGTCTTCAGCCGTGGGAGAAGACTCGAGGACCCAGGGAGAAAACGCATGGTTTCCAGTTAATTTCAATCATTGTCAGGTAGAAGCCTGGGATCGCAACCATGCCATTGATGCAGTGACAGATCTTATTGATATAAAAAAAACTCAAGAGTGCCTGGCTAAAATTCAGTTTTTTCGAGGGGGGTTTTGTCTTAAAATCAGTGATCATACAAGCAACAGGATTAGTGGTGTTAAGAAAACATTGATTATTCATTAATATTTACATTTTAAATTAGTCCAGTTTTTATGTTTTAAATCTCTACAAATCTCCCTTGTTTCAAGGACAATTTGTAATTAAACTGTCTACACATCACACTATTCTATGGAATTATGGTTTTTTACTGAGCCTTTATCAAATCAATAATAAAAACTAGAAATGAAATCGGAGTTAAATAATTATAATACGTAGAATTGCGTCCATGTAGGTGGATGGGGATACGCGGCCCTGTGCAAATCTTAAAAAAATATATCAGAGCATCCAAAAATTCGTTTTTGAGTAACAATGGTAAAAAAAAATTCTAAGGGTTTATATCTAAAACTACAAAACATTCGAACACCACAAGGTAGTAATATAGTCCAGGTGGTGTAGACGTGCCAATAAACCTGTATCTATATAAAACAGAGGAACTTTTATAAAATATAAATTAACTCATAGCCTAGATCAATATGCACTTATTATATACCTTCCTTGAATGGGTTGTGTTTACGGGTTCAACGACACCAATCTAATTTTTTATTATTCAGAAGACCTATTAAAAATTTTCTTCCTATTTCGTCACAAGGAAAAAAACTAATTTAAATACAGTAAGTATTTTGTGGTTCTTCTCATAAAGCCTTTTAGTTCCAAAGTTTTAAATTTTAAACTAAACATCGTGTTAATATGTCTATGTAGGTGGAAATAATCAGAATCATCACAATGAATCTGTATCTTTAACATTCCTTATACTTGCAATATTCTTGAATAATGGCCATTGTTTATATCTCTATCTAACCTCACTTATTGTCAATCTACTTTATTGTTTTAGTCAATTAATCTAAGAATTGTATTTGTAAAATTTGGAGGTCTCTATCAATCAATAAGTTTATGATGATCATGATAAAATATGTTTTAACTCAATCTGATTAAAACACAGATCCTATTTCGTTTCGTTTTTTATCATTCAAATTTTTGTTTTACTTGTCTTTACTATACTAGGATCTGGAAGAGTTATTATCATTGAAGTGTTCTGGTTGAAGTGAGGGATTAGCCAATGAAACGGTCTGTTACGGTGACTTCTTGGCGTGCGATGCACGGAACTGTGAGTAAACCACTAGACACATCAACGCTGATTGATTAATCAATGACTGACGTCATAATGTCAAAAGCCGATCGTATGACCCCTGACATGACCTTTTAGTACAACTTGTCAGATCTTCAGGTAGTGTACCCCATCGAAAGTATAAAAAAACAAAACAAAAAATAGATCTGTATTTTAATCAGAATAATATTTCCACTATAAAGTCCGAAACTTTCAAATAACCAAATCACAGAACTCAATCTTGTTTCTAAAAGGTAGAGAAGTTACGTGACTCATTGATCTGGGCTCTATGTGACTTATTGGTCAAGGCTATAATATTGTGAGAGTGGGGGGTTGTCTGTGATCAGCATTCCAATTAAATAAATACAAATATCATGCTGAACAAAATCAAATTTTCAAAGATACAAACTATTTCTTGCAGTCTGAACCTAACATCACCATACGACTTTATTTCGATTTCAAAAGCCTGAACGTATCTTTTTTCTTTGTTTCATGTGTTAATTCTAAATTAAATATCACATTCAAAAACGACAAGATCTCCCAGATTTGGTTCAGAAATCAAATTATTGTTGATTTCATCTGATTTTATATGTTGATATGATTTGTGGAATGAGATATTTCTTCGTTCAGATTTCTACATCTATACATAGAACGAACATTTAGATATTTTTACTTCAATCAAATACGCTTGGCTCCTTTATTTTCATGTGATTAAATTTCATTTGATTACGATAATACAACAAAAGTGTGTACCTTTGAAAAACAACAAAATATACACAATCAACTAGACATGAGTTTATAAAACTCATCAAACATTATTACAAAACGGTGTCAATATAAAAACTTAACTTAAAAAACTTAAACTGTGACAAGAAAGGATCAGAAAATGACTTTATTCCCGGGTCTGCAAATATGGCACCGATCACTGGTCAAACATATTCATGCCATCGTTTTGTCCGACACATATTTGTTTTTAAATCGTGTTTTTTGATGATATTCATATTTATATGAAGAGTTTAAAGTGATTTTCTGGTATAAATTAATAATAAATAACGCATGCTTGTTTGATAGATTGGTTGATACCTGTTGTATTTGATGTAACTGTACATGTACTGTATGGGGTGGCTATAGGAATAAATACTTATATAAATATATCACAGCTTTATAATTACCACAAATACATCCTATACAATCAGGTTTTATTGTCACAACATTTAGAGTCAATGTCAAGGTTATTCTTATTTCTATGGCAACATGAGCAAATGTGAGGTAAGAGAATTTTGCCGTGACAGTGGCCTTGACATCTGAACTTTTGCGATTTCCAACAGTCAAGCGTTGTTTTACGGATATGTGACACCAAGATTTGAACCTGGGACACCGGAATAACACGGCGATTTAATTAAAATTGTCGATATTCAAATCTCTGTTTACAGGAGATGAATACAACAGGAAAGATTTCTAACATATTAGATATATTGATATAAACATTTTATAGTTTCATCAAAATATCTTTAAATTATCTGATAAAACTATTTCTCGTGACTATATCAATGTTTATATTGTATATATAACCTTTAACCTATCATAGTATATACAAATTTCCATCCACCAGAAATATAAATAATTTCAATGTTTGGATGTATCAAAAATTTATACAAAAAAAATCAAAGTTGATCAACCCACTTTTATATAAATAAAAAGTAAAAAAGGTAGTTTGACAAACGACATATATAGATAAAAATGTAAGTTTTGATTTAACTATACGATCCAAGTGGTTTGGGAGGTTTTGGGTGAGCATACAGGTCTATAGCAGCAGTAGGGCCCGGAGAAAACATACAAGTTTAGACAGACATAGCTGCTCTTGTTAAGTTAAGAACTAGGTTGGGATCGAAACCATGCCACTTGACTCAATAACAAAGCTTATGACCTAAAGCGATTGCGCTAGACCACTCAGCCACCCAACCCCTACAGTCATGTACAGACCATATGACCTAGAGAGAGAGAGAAATGGGGTTTAACGTCCACTCGACACAAACTAGGTCATTTCGGGACTAACATGGTTTAATCTTATTTCAATAATTCGCTTGCGCGTAGGGGTCTTTAGCTGTGGGAGGAAACCGGAGGACCCGGAGAAAACCCACGAGGTTGGACAGGCGACCCTACTCCTTGTCACATACAACCGGGGATTCAAAACCACGCCAGTCGACTCAATGACAGACTTTATGATACAGCGCGCGCACGCTAACCATTCAGCCATCCACCCCCCCCATATGACCTAGAGTACAGGTGACAGACACCCTCATCTCCACTGACCACTAGACCTCCCAACCCCTACAAAATGAAATGGGGTTTAACGTCCTACTGTTCTGCTCCTAACCTGGGCTAATGAAAACGGGCATACGCCATACAGTGTGCTATGAGGGAAATTTTGCCCGGGCAGCGACACTATCGCCTACCTTTATATCAAATTCCAACTGCCAAGGGACCCAACTCCTACAATCACGTAAAGACAATATGAGTACAAGTGACAGGGAGAATAAGAGAGATATAATACTTACACTACCATCAACTTGTGTAAAACTAGTTATATCTGTGGTAGCACCAGGATAACTAGTTATACTACTCTGACTACTAGCACAATTACTGTTATGACTTGTTAAACTTCCTGATTTACTACCATCTGGATCATCATCCTATAAATATAATATAACTTTTTATTTTATGATCAGTAGTGGAATACCGCATTTTATCAGTGAAATAAAAGTGTTATTCCACTGGCTCCAAGCGGACAAAGTAGTCCATGTTGTTTTTACCTAAAATGATTGTAAAATCATAAAATAAATAGAACATTTGTCGTTTTGTCGTGAATAACATATTTTATTTCATCTCTAAGCAAGAAAACATTTATATTTTCTTGCTTCTCGATGAAATAAAACATGTTATTCACTCTAAAATGACAAATATCCTCTATATAATCATTAAGGTCCTACTCTTCTACTCCAACTGTATTTGGGGGATCACGTGGCTAAGTGGGTGAGACGCTGGCTCGCTAGCCTGGAGTTCATTTTTTTTGATCCCTGCATTGGCCGAGAAAGTTCATTCCGATTTTCCGGCGTGGTTTCCCCTTGTCAGTGATGCAGGACGGAGGGCCTGACAAGGACAGCTGTCTAGTCGTTCGGATGGGACGAAAAACTGAGGTCCCGTGTACACATTGGCGTGCACGTAAAAGATCCCTTGGCAGTTGGAATTTGATATAAGAGTAGGCTGTAGCGCCGCTGCCCGGGCAAAATTTCGGTCATAGCACACTGTATGGTGTATGCCCGTCTTCATTAGCCCAGGTTAGGAGCAGAACAGTAGGACGTTAAACCCCATTTCATTTCATTTCATTTCCAACTGTATTTAAATAAAATAGGTTGCCACGCAGCGAAACAAACGCCCACAGCACCTAAATCATCCGAGGAGTCGACAAGGATTGTCGCATATTTATTCCTTTGTAGGTAATTGGGGGCCTTTACAAGACAGTTCCATACAGATCAGATTATAATTTTTGCCGTTTGAGGGTTCACAAGGTTCTACAAACTAAAACAAGGGTCTCAACTCTAGAAGTAATCTACAGAAATTGTCGAAATTTGACAATTTACTAATTTAAATAATGCATATAAATTTCATACAGATAATATGATCACTTTTGTCATTCAAACGTTCACAAGGTTTACAACCACCATAACTCTAGAAATTATTGCCGGAAATTGCTGAAATTCAATAGGCAGCTGTTTCACAAACTTAAATGATGCATATAAATTTCAAACACATCGGATGATAACTTTCATCAATCGAGCATTAATAAGGTTGAACAAAGAAATTGTGGGCCTATAAAAATGGGGTTTAACGCCCTACTGTTCTGCTCAGAACTGGTATAATGAAGACGGGCATACATCATACAGTGTGCTATGAGGAAAATGTACAGTATAAATATGATGCATAACAACAGAGAACGAAACGAAATGAAATGGGATGTAACGTCCTACTGCACCACAATCTACTCTTGTATCAATTTGAAATGTATACAAGACCTTGGTTTTTCATCCCATCAGAACGACTATACGTTGTCCCTTGCCAGACCATCTGTCGTGCATCACTGACAAGGGAGAACCACGCTGGAAAATCCCGATGAAAGAGAGGGAGAGAAATGGGGTTTAACGTCCACTCGACACAAACTAGGTCATTTCGGGACTAACATATGGTTTAATTTTATTTACATAATTCGCTTGCGCGTAGGGGTCTTTAGCAGTGGGAGGAAACTGGAGGACCCTACTCCTTGTCACGTACAACCGGGGATTTGAAACCACAACAGTTGACTCAATGACAGACTGTATGATACAGCACGCACATGCTCACCATTCGGCCCTAATAAAATTGTAAAATTGATGATTTACCTGAGAAGAAGTCTCTACATCATCTGTATCATTCGAATCTTTCTCTTCGTTAATATTGCCTTCATGTTCACCGTTAATTATCAACTTCTGTAATCGTCTATATTGTAAATTATCTAACTTCCGTACAGCGTTTTTAGTTCTGTATATTAATTCATTGATAACATCACCAAGATGCGTGGAAGTTATAAATGGATCCTGAAATTAAACCCTCAAAATAATTAAATATTTATTGAGAAATTGTATAAAAGAAATGAAATTGGTTTTAATGTCCTACTGTTCTGCACCGACTGGGCTAATGGTAATGGCCTACGCCATTCTGTATATTGCTATGAGTGGCATTTTGCCAGGACTGCGGCGCTACGGCCTACTGTTCTATCAAATTCCAGCTGTCAAGGTATCTTTTACATCCACGCTAACGTGTGGACCAGATCTCAGTTTACCGTACCCATAGGAACAACTGTAGGTAGTCTCTTGCCAGACACTGACAAGGGGGAATCCTGCCGGAAAATCATGATGAACTTTCTTAGCCAACGCAGGAATCGAACACGGGACTTCCAGGTTAGCGATCCAACGTCCTACACCCTGAAACACTGGGGTTCTTTACTTCACAGAGATAAATATGGGTGTTTAATAAAAGGAACAAGGCCATTTTCAGAACTTGGCCCAAGACATGAGTAACTAAAAATGCGATTTTTCAAACAAACTGGGGCCATAATCCAGGATGCTAAGTTCGGAAATGGGCGATTATTGAAAGAAACCAAGATCTTTGTGATATAAACATAAATTTAAAGTTTAATCAAAATCGTATCAACATTGTGGCTTCTAGAGGGTCAACAACCTTGATATACCACATATTTACACTATTTGCATACAAGGGGGTGGCCATTTTGCCATTGATAGGGTGTAACGTGAATATATTCAAACAGGTTTTTAAATTGGATAAAAATTGTTTGTTCTAGAGGGACCACAAGCTAAAAACGTGATTTTTCGTACAATCAAGGGCAATAAATCAGGAAGTTAAAGACTGATATGTGTGAATATCGAAAGGAACCAAGATCTTTGGGTTATAAACATTAAGTCCAAGTTTCACCAAAATCGGAACACGTAAATTGTCTGGCAGGTAAGTTCTTCAACCAGACAATTTCACTGTTGGTCAGTCAAAACCCGTAAAAATGAGTGAAATAAGATCAGTCTTTCAGTCAACGCAGAACGCATTTCAATGGCTCACATCATGGTCGTTGATTGCTACACCAACTAGTCCAAGCATCTCCAAAATTCACATTTTTTACACTGCAATTTCACTGATTTCTATTTTATCTTACACATTTGTAGATATATAGCTTTTTTTAAAAATACACATTAAACATTACATGTAATAGTTCATCTGCTGACGGTCTGTCGGCAGGATTTTTGGCGAGGCACACGTCCACAAAGTTCCTGAAATTATCTGACCAATCGCCACCAGATAGAGAGGGAGAATCATTTTGAGCTATATGATACAGGGCACTCATAGCATTCATATTAAACAGCGGAGGTTTTCTTTCAGCTGAAAATAAAATCGTAAATTATCTTAAATATTATATAAAACCAGGTCTAGATATGTGTGACATTTTACTATGTGATGGACTTACAGCCATTACATTTAGAAAAGAACTGAAGTTAATCCCAATAAGAAGTTTGGAGTTAGTAGACTCTTGCAGACTGATTTCAGCAGAATCCTAGTGGAATCTTGAAGACTGATTTCAGAAGAAAACTAGTGGACTCTTGCAGACTGATTTCAGGAGAAAACTAGTGGACTCTTGCAGACTGATTTCTGCAGAAACTTAGTGGACTCTTGCATAATGATTTCAGGAGAAAACTAGTGGACTCTTGCAGACTGATTTCAGGAGAAAACTAGTGGAATCTTGTAGACTGATTTCTGCAGAAACTTAGTGGACTCTTGCAGACTGATTTCAGGAGAAAACTAGTGGAATCTTGCAGACTGATTTTAGGAGAAACTTAGTAGACTCTAACCAATTGATTTTAAGAGAAACTTAGTGGACTCTAGCAGACTGCTTTCAGAAGAAAATTAGTGGAATCTTGCAGATTGCTTTCAGGTCAAACTTGGTGGACTTAATGGAGAATCCCATTCAATTTATTTTTTAGGATTGTAGAAAACGGAAATGAAATATCAAGCCCTTTGTTAAATAATAAATCAGACAAAACAAATTAATTTAGGTGGTAATATTTTCATTGAAAATATGTCCAAAGGGCAATAACTCTTTCAAAACGTGAAATTATCTGCCCTTGAAGTTGTCTCCCCTTAGCCCACAGGTGAGGACTTTTTTCCCCTATATTTTTTTTTTTTTTTTTATAAGCAGACTTTGCGAAATAAGGAGAGTGATCACTCACCTAAACGTGTCAATTGCGGTGGCCGACTCTCTTACAAATAAAATGTTATAAAAGAATTGTGATTTATTTACCTAATTCTATACACGTTATACCAAGAGACCATATATCACTCTTCCCATCATACTGACCCTCATCCATCGCCAATATCACTTCTGGTGCCATCCAATATGGCGTACCAACAAAAGAGTTGGCTGGACTGACTAACGATGCTGAACCAAAATCAGCTAGAAAATATGATTTAAAACAAATGTAATTAGGTGCATGTAGGTATTTTATTTTATGCATTATTGAGGCACGAAATTGAGCAAATACTTTGTATTTCTGGGGGGGGGGGGGGGGGTTCAGTGATTTTTTGGTCTTCATTATTGGATGTCAATTAAAATTAATGCCTAATGAAATGAAATGGGGTTTAACGTCCTACTGTTCTGCTCCGAACTGGGCTAATGAAGACAGGCATACGCCATACAATGTGCTATGAGGGAAATTTTGTTCGGACATCGGTACTACGGCCCACTCTCATATCGAATCCCAAATATCAAGGGATCTTTTACGTGCTTCACAATGCGTACACAGGACCTCGGTTTTTTGTCCCATCCGAATGACTAGACAGATGTCCTTGTCAGGTCCTTTCTCCTGCACCACTGACAAGGGGGAACCATGCTGTAAAATCTGGATGAACTTTCTCAGCCAATGCAGGGACTGAACACCCTACCATGTACACCTGACCTCTGTATTTCATCCCACACGTCTGGCATCAGATCTCCTGGTTAGCGAGCCAGCAACTTACATCCTTGAGCCACCATGGCTTTAGAAATTAAAGTAATGTTTAGGACTAACCTAATTTAACGGTTCCATTTTCTGTAAGTAATATATTGCCTGCTTTAACATCTCGGTGTATTCTATTTAAACTATGAAGATAAGATAAACCACGTAATGCATGTTGACATATAGCTGCTATCTCTATCTCTCTCAATGGCTTCTTGTGAACTGTAAACATAATAATACTCATAGTAATAATAATATCGGGGAGGGGAGAGAGGGGGAGGTATGGCGAGAAGAGGGGGGGGGGGAAGAGAGACTAACAAGTTGACATATAGCTGCTATCTCTATCAATGGCTTCTTGTGTACTATAAACATACAATAATAATTGTTATAGAGGGAGAGAACTGAGGTTTAACATCCACTTGACATAACACCCAACTCCCACTTCAACCCCCACCCCCATCAATTCATAGGTTCTTTGTACAAATATTTTAAGAATGCCAATGGTTCATTGCACCAAATGTTCTCTCTTGATCAATGAAAATGCTGCATTCTCAAAATATTACTGGTTAAACAGGTATTATTCAAGCGCTAAATCTGTCTATTACAGGTCTTTCTTTAGGCCTTAAATCTTATATAAAGTACTAATTAGACATTTATTAACATGACAAGACCACAATCAACTCTTGATATAGGATACTCAAGATTTTAACTAGATTATAACGGTTCGACCATTTAATGATTTAGCATAAAAATCTCAAACAACTATGACTGTGGTTTCTATCAGTGCACACATCCTTTCAATATCTTTGCACGGAATAAAGTAATTTGAATGAAATTTTCAATATTTTCATTTTACATTATCTATGTTTGAGCTATTATAGCAAGAATTGTCAGCTCTTTATCTAAATCTTACATAATCCATCATTAAGCTACCTTGACTAAAGCCCTGGTGTATTTGTAAGTGTAATAAACTTCAGAGAGAGAGAGAGAAATGGGGTTTAACATCCACTCAACACAAACTAGGTCATTTTGGGGCTAACACATGGTTCAATCTTATTTCAATAATTTGCTTGTGCGTAGGGGTCTTTAGCAGTGGGAAGAAACTGGACAAATACCCACGAGGTTGGACAGGCGACCCTACTCCTTGTCACGTACAACCTTGGAAGGGTAACCACGCCAGTTGACTCAATGACAGACCTTATGATACAGCGCGTCTGTGCTAACCATTCGGCCAGGCTTCGGACATCCAACCCCCGTAATAAATTGTAGGTCTTACCTTCAATAATATCTGAAGCCGAGCCTAAACAATATTCCATAACAAGCTACAAAACAAACATAAATAAATATATATATGTCACTGGTGAATAGAGGAGAGATCCTTCCATTCTATCTGACCAACAATATAAATAATTAAATGGACAAACATTACAAAATTTAGAAAAGCAAAAGAGCAAGAGGATATCTTATCAAATATATATATATATATATAGAGAGAGAGAGAGAGAGAGAGCAATGGGGTTTAACATCTACTCCACAAAAACCAGTTTCTTTTGGGAATAAATAAGGTACAACATTGGGTACAATCTAATTTCAATAATTTGTTTTCACATAAGGGGTCAATATTGTACACGTTGGACCATTCACCCTCCCTCCCCCCCCACCCTCACACAAATGTTAAACCACTACCCCACCCCTCTTCCTGGATAAACAAATAGAAGATGTCTTTAGTCATGTTTAACAAATTACACAAATGCAAACCACAGGGACGTAGATAATATTGAAATAAAAGGCATATGGCCGTAAAAATAATTGGTTCTGATAAATTTCTGACTGTTTTGGGATTTGGTTGTATTGATATAATTGTAAAAGATAATGAACATGTGTTTTTGAAATATTTTCCTGCAACTGCAGACCTTATCGGATTTTAATAGATCAGTTGCCAGGCAACGAAACATACATCCTTAATCCATTTGATTGGCTTTTTATTCTCGCCCATGAAAATCATTACCCTTCTTCATCTCATGAGCATAAACGCTGTCTGTGTATGAATTCCAAATCAATCAGAAGAGAACTTTAACCTCAAGATCTCTCTGTAAAAAGTTCACGCTAATCGAACTTGTGGATGATGGAAGCATGACAATATCCGACCAGTCGGGGGTGGTTTAGCTTGTCGGTCGAGTTAGGAGAAACAGAAATATTCTTATGGCCAGCCTAACAAGTGGGAACCACGGCAGAAAATCCTTATGAACTTTCTTGGCCAACGCAGGGATCGAACACGGGACTTCTGGATTAGCGAGACAATTTCTTACTCACTGAGCCACCGTGGCTCTTGGACCAGGAGCAGAACTCTAAACGTTACTCATATTGTAGTTTTTGGGGGTGACACACTTCGAAAAATGCTTTAGACTCTGCCAATTCCAGTTCGACACAACAGAAACTGACAGGCTTGTTCCTTGCAGATTTGCATATCAAGTCTTAATTCATCAACTGTCTGATTTTAAATTAAGATTATTTATAAATTCGTACCCATGCTGTATTATCTTTTATATAACATCCCTTGTAATCTATCGTATTTCTATGCGAGAGCTGACGAAGAAATTTTACTTCTTTTACGATATCTTGCCATTTCTGAAAAATAAAAAACATATCGTAGAAATTATCCAATCTAATTAAAATATAGATCTATATTTCGTTTCGTTTTTTATACTTTCGATGGCCTACACTACATGTAGATCTAACAAGTTATAGTGGGAGTTCACATTCTATGACGTCAGGTACCAAGCAAGCGACATTTGACCCGATAACGTCAGTCATTCGATTAACCAATTAGCGACCGCCATGCTTTTTTAAATCTCCTTCTGCTTTGTTTTGATTTCTATCGCTGGTAATGTCTACCCCCAGTTCCGCGCAAAAAAGATCAAATGCTCCATTCGACAGACCATTTGATGGGCTGACCCCTCATTTCAAGCAGAACACGAGTTAAATAACAAGTCTTCCAGATCCAAGTTTAGTAAAGACAAGTAAAAACGAAATTTTAAATTATAAAAAACGAAACGAAATTGGATCTGTGTTTTAATCAGATTGAGAAATTATCATAAAACTGACTTCATTTTTAAAAGATGCAGCAGTAACTTATTTTATGGTAAATTTGTTCACTTTCTACGTTTGTGACATTCAATTAACGAGACACGTTGCTTGTACCACAAACGTTATCCCTAAGCTGGGAGAAGAAGACATCAAAATTCTTTAGGGTTCTATATCATATGACCTTATACCAGCTTCTATCTAGTATCTAGTATTGCCCGGGTAACTGCAGGTCTGGAAATAACAGTTTTAGATGTACCTGACAAAATGTCAAAATTAATGAAATAGTACCTGACATTTTCAACTTAGTGCCGGACATGTATTAATAATATCAATAAAAAGACAAATCAGTGCCGGACAAAATGACAGGCACCTGAGGTTTAGTGCCTGACAAAGCCTGAATCTGTGCCTGACATTGTCTGTGACAGGTGCCTTATTTCCAGGCTTGTTAAACTGGCATGGTATTTGTAGACAGGTATGGTACAATGATCTGAGGTTGCCCGGGTATCTGGCTTGGTATTTGTAGACAGGTAGGGTACAATGATCTGGGATTGCCCGGGTATCTGGCTTGGTGTGTGTAGACAGACGGTACAATCAATTTGATTAAAACACAGATCCTATTTCGTTTCGTTTTTTTATAGTTCAAAATTTAGTTTTATTTGTCTTTACTACGCTAGGATTTTGAAGAGTTGTTATATAACCGGTGTTCTGGATGATGTGAGGGAATAGCCAATGAAACAGTCTGTTACGGCAAGTCTATAAATATTGACGTCCATTATTACATGGCTAATACTTACATCAGTAGCTCCCTTTCCACTAAAGGACATCTTCTTGATAGCAACCACCTCTTTTGTGATAACATTTTTGGCCTAAAAAAGGACATTGAAAATAATTAATGACAGAAATTTAAAATAATGCCATTTTACATGAAATATTCACTTGGGTTTTCCCATGTAGTCAGCTGACTCGATCAAGTCTGAACATTAGAAGCACGGATATTATGTTCCGGAAAATCTGACATACAGATGAACACCCTATTTGTCCCCTGTTTTCTCTTACACCGTAAAAAAATAGGTTGCCAGGCAATAAACATACGTCCACAGGAAGTAAGTTGTCCGAGCAGTCCAAAACTGATCAAGAATATAAACCCATTAGGATGTGTTTGTCTTCTAGTTCTGTCCCATGCAATAGGGTTCTTCGTCTCATGACATTTAACAAGGTGTACAAATTTAAAGTCAATCGGACATATAATTTTAACCTCTTGTGAACGCAGTACTGACGACAATACATGAAAACGACTACATTTCAATATGAACGTATAAAGATAGGTTGCCAGGCAGCGAAACATACGCCCACAGCAGCTATATCGTCCGGGCAGTCAACAAGAGTTGTCGCATATTTTTACTTTTTTAGGTAAAGAAACATTTATAATACATTAAAATCTGATTAAGAGTAACAACTCATTAAGTAATTATCAGAAAACCATTAGATTAAGAATTTGTTTGGTTTTTATAAAGTTCTGCCCCATGCTAACATTTAGAATATGAAACTTTTAAAATCATGGATTTAGCTGTTCAAGTCATAAAGATTCATTGAAAATCATTATACTTGTTCGTCTCAAGACGGACGGACGGGGGCGACGACAATATACAACCACATTTAAATGTGGGCGTATAAAAATTATTGAATGCAACTCGTAAATGAAAGAATTCATACACGCTCTTTCATGAAACATGCATTAACCTAACACATGATCTATGTAATGCACTCGGCAAACGTCGACAGATTCCGGTACCCTACATCTAGCTTCGGCTGTATGAAGGTAAGTGATATGTACCTATGCCTATACAATTGCGATGCGACACCGGTTTACTTATTAGGAACACTTGCCACTTTTAAAAAGAAGTTATCATAATTGTGTCGTTCAAAGCATATGCAGAATTTTCATTGCAAAGTTGTCCTTGTTTGAAGAAAATCTGATAAACATGAAAGAAAAATAGCTTCAGACTTAGAAATATTTGTATGATAAAACATTCTTCAAAGGCGACGTCATGGACAACGCTGTTGGTAATCCGTGAACTTGAAAGTAATTCCAATGACGGACTTCGTCATCCAGTCGAGGCTAGATGTAGGGTACTGGAATCTGCTGAGGTTTGCCGAGTTAAATAAAATGTATAATTCTTTATCTATTTACTTACAAAGTAAACTGCTCCAAAACTGCCATGGCCAATCTCTCGCAGCTCTGAAAAGATTTTGTCGGGGTCATCATTGCAAAATAGTCCAACAACGTCTGGATCTTTAAGGTTTCCCGGTTTGGGTAAATGAGGCATGGCGGGGTTGTCTCCCTTCTTCTAGCTGGTGTCTAGGACACGGTCAGGTTCATAATTAGTTGATAGCTTCATGTATTATCAATTATTTGGTCACCTGAAATAATAGGTATATATATGAACAACTCTACAAGTAGTATTATCAATTATTTGGTCACCTGAAATCATAGGTACACGTACAGAATCAACGACATGTGGTCACTTGAATACAGACATACGGTATACACAGAACCAACAATACACAATATCATCTCTGTCATTAAATCCAGTGGGATGGTTTCGATTCCCCACTTGGGACGTGACAACTGTATTCTCCAGATTCCCCCACTTCTGAAGATCCATACACGCAAGCGCATAATTGATATAAAATTGAACCATGTTAGCCCCAAAATGACCTAGTTTGTGTTGTTTCTGTCTCTCTATGGTATATGGTATGCTTTGAGGAAAATTTGCATGAACAGGAATTTAATTCCAACTGTCAAGGATTCTGTGATGTGTACGTGAAAGTGTACACAGGACTATTTATTGTTGTCAGTCATTATCACATATGTGATAGAACTTGTTAAACACGTTCCAAATATAATTTTAACAGATGCATAGTGAAGGTTTCTACAAAAGAAAGTGACGAACACAAAAGGAAAACACGAGTTATCCTTCTATATAACTGACTGAAGTGATGAGTGATAACAGATACACGGGCGAATTTCTGCTCGCTAACAATTCCTTCGAAACAATTTTGGAAACACACTGGAAAATCACAAGGAATGTTTGCAGCCTACAATACTTGTAGGATTGAATCCATTGCCTCCCGAGTTCACAAACCAGCTCCTCAAACCATTATAACACTTGGTAAACTATACATGTACATCAACAACATGTAGTCAACTTAGTTCATGAGCAAGCGTCTTATTCACTGTGCCACCACTGATCTCAAATCATAATAATACTTGGTATACTATATATCAACAACATGTGGTCAACTTAATTATATACATGTATATATTTCACATCGAACACACAGATTGAACCTGGGACATCTGAATTCGCAAGCAAGCGCCTTACCCACTGTGCCACCACTGATCTCAAATCATAATAATACTTGGTATACTAATATATATCAACAAGATGTGATCGACCTAATCAATAATACAGCACCAAGACTACTATATGTTAAGTTACACCCAACACAGACGCTTTCAAACCATTCAACACTTTATTTCTATTCAATAACTTCCTTACTTTATTCAACTTAATGATCCCGAATAATACAAATTATTTCTACATTAATATGTTGATTTTAAAAGGTATGATTTAGGAATACAGTTTATAATATTAATACACAGAGAGAGAGAAATGGGGTTTAACATCCAGTTGACACAAACTAGGTCACTTCAGGACTAACATACGGTTCTATTTTATTTCGATAATTTGCTTGCGTGTAAGGGTCCTTAGCAGTGGGAGGAAACTGGAGGACCCAGGGAAAACCCACAAGGTTTGAACAGGTGACCCTACACCTTGTCATGTACAATTGGGGAATAAACACCACGCCAGTTGACTCAGTGACAGACTTAATGATACAGCGTGCACGCGCTAACCATTCGGCCTACGGCCATCCAATATTAATACAAGTACTATTGACCAGCATGAATTCATCACAGATATCTTGGAATTTTGACGTCATATAAAAAATTTGTCAATCTAAGCACAATTGTCTGAGGAACAAACATGTCAAGTTTTATGTCGATTGTAATTCGATTAAACATACATTATGCAAGAGCAAAATCTTCTTATTACAAGTCTTTCTTTAGGCCTGAAATGTCATCTAATTATCAATTAGACATTAATTAACTTATCCAGACCATAATAAACTCTCGATGTCAAGGCTAGCCTTCGATGTTGGCTGGATTAGATTCCTATATGCCGCTAACGGCCAGTGATAATTAAATCCAAAAAAGTGGATAATCGAGACTATGCTGTTTATATTAATGATTTTAGTAATGATGACCAAGACTATGCAAAAATTTCACCCGCTTCTTTCTCGGCTCATAGTGGATCAATTTGACTGAAATTTTCAGCAAATTACCTTTACACTATCTAGTTTTTAACTATTATAGCGAGAACTGCCATCTCTTTATCTTATCTCCCATAATGTATCTTTAACTTGATAACATACAGATAAATTATTCGTTTTTCCATCAGATCTGTTCTAGTTTATTGCTCTATTCAGTGACTAAATAATTCTAAAATATAAATTATCAGTTCAGTTTTTCTATTAGATGTTATTATTGCTCTATATCACAGTTCCTAAATACTTCTTAAATACCACTATACTAAACACAATAAATTATTATCAAACATTATCACACACACAACTCTAAATATACCCCACATACATCATTATAACCAGTTATAAACATATAAACACATTTCAAAATAGTTGAAGAATTACATTCATTGCTGAGTACATGTATTTCAACATAGCTCGAGTGCAGTTACGTGTACATGTACATTGATATGCAAAATGACCGTCACAGTCTCACAGACACATGTAAGCTTCATCCATGCAAACTTTGTTTATTATTCCTATTATCATCCAGAAAACCGTTGAAACACTTGCAGTGATATGCAGTTAATTAAATTGATATGATATTTTCACATAAAGTAAAGCGTCTATGTTGTTATATTGAGGTATCATCAATTCAAACAGTTTGCACAGGGGAAGGTATCTTTAACTAGGTTCAATAACATTAGATGTTGACATGGGAAGGTATATTTAACTAGATTCAATAACATTAGATGTTGTACATGGGAAGGTATCTTTAACTAGATTCAATAACATTAGATGTTGTACATGGGTGGGTATCTTTATCTAGATTCAATAACATTAGATGTTGACATGGGAAGGTATCTTTAACTAGATTCAATAACATTAGATGTTGACATGGGAAGGTATCTTTAACTAGATTCAATAACATCAGATGTTATGTTTACACAGATAATAAAAGGATTAATATAGAAATACGTATATTTTACGTCAACATATTTTATCAAGAGTTTTCCTCATCTCTGACATATTTGATTCCCTAACAATCCAATATCTATCATATCATCTTTACATTCCTCATATAAACGCATTTTATAATATTTACTCACTCAAATCTTGTCTTCTCTATAATTTGCTTTATTTAAACAAAAATTATACAAGAGCTAAATCTGCCTATTGCAGGTCTTTCTTATCTAAATTATTAATTAGACATTAATTAACATATCCAGACCATAATCAACTCTCTCTTGATGGCATCGCTAGCCTGCAATATTTACTGGATTTGAATCTCAATCTGATCTGTTGCTCAACGCTCATTGATGAGTTTATCCAGAATGATATCGAGGCTAGGCCTAAAATTTAATAGCTACATTTTTGGTTCAGAGTGAATCAATTTGTCTGAAATTTTCAGCAAATTCCCTTTACCTGGTAAAATAACATCATCAATGTTGATTTAAATTCACCAATAAGTCATGTTTGCTATGTTGGAAGGCTAATGACGACTGACATACACCATACAGAAATCTAAACCAGACGGCAGCGTTTCTCTCCAATGTCAAATATTCTTTAACATGTACGCCACAAAATATTGTTTTTTCTGTCCCATCCAAAGGACTAAACACTGTTCTTTTCAAGGCCCTCTGTTTAGCACAACTGACAAGTATTTAGAAGTTTTGTATTTTAAGACACCATTAAAGATTCTAATGCAAAAATATTATCTATGCACATGTTCAAAATTGTCCTTGATAATAGCAGATCTAATAAACAATAAGGTTTACCACCAGTAACTATATCTCACAATATGTTTGCAATTGTTGTATACACAGCATACAGCATGTGGGGAATTCTGGGAGATTAGATAACGAGTTGACAGTTCTCACTATAATAGTTAAAAAAATAGATAATGTAAAGGGAATATGTTGAAAATTTCAGTCAAATTGCTCCACTCTGAACTGAGATCTTAGCTTTTGAATTTTAGGCTAGCCTAAAGCCGGTAGGATAAAAAAAACAATGTCTTGATTATCCATTTTTTTCAAATAATGTATTTAGGCTAGCCTAAAGCCGGTAGGATAAAAAACAAAGTCTTGATTATCCATTTTTTTCAAATAATGTATTCCAATGTGCTAAATATTACAGGCTCGCGATGACCATGAGAGTAGATTATGGTGTGGATAAGTTAATTAATGTCTAATTAATAATTTAAATAACATTTCAGGTCTAAAGAAAGACCTGCAATAGGCAGATTAAGCTCTTGCATAATACATGTATAAGTTTGATTTTACAAAATAAATATACCATTATTAATATTATAATATCGGACATTCCAGTATATCATCATATTAAAATATATATCTACTCCTGTTGATACAACTAGTGAATATATCTTATACTTCCTTGTCTATGTACATATAGATAAAATAAGTCTTGTTATACAAGATATACTGTATCATTTATTGACAATATTTTTGGACCACAAACAGGTGCTTGTTTCACAAAATTTTAACTAAAGATAAAATCCAGCAAGCACTAAAATTTTGATAGAATAAGCACTAAAATCAATCTAATGTTATCCATTCAAATTACTAAAATTTAAAATTTGAATTTTATCTTACAGTACCCTAACTATTAATGTTCTTGTTGTTTTTCTTAAGGTTGACGCACACCAAAAAGAACCTACAGGTTCACCAATAGATGTACGTGTGTACTATCTACAAGAAACTTGGTCAACTTTTTCATTGGACAATTTGCATCAATAGTTATATGACATCAGTCACAATTCCAAGTTCAATTCACAATCCGATTAAAATACAGATCTATATTTCGTTTCATTTTTTTTTTTATCCTTTCGATGAAGATCTGACCGGTTGTACTGGAAGGTCACGTCAGGGGTTATACGAGCGGCTTATCAGCGTTGACGTTTCTAATGGTTAACCCACAGTTCCGTGCATCGCACACCAAGAACTCGCCATAACAGACCGTTTCATTGGCCAATCCCTCAGTTCAACCAGAACACCGGTAATATAACAACTCTTCCAGATCCTAGTGTAGTTAAG